TCAATCATCAAACATTGCTTGTTTATATTTTCTTGATATTTCATTTGTATAATAAAGTTATGATAAAATTATTTACTAATTTTGATAAGGAATGTAATACATCTTTGTATTTTTTTTTCAGTAAAAAATCATTGCATACAAGACTTACATTCCTTCATATATAGGTAGGTAAGTATTAAAAGCGTAAAACTGAATACAAAGTTTAAATACATAATAATCATAAAGATATTGTCAAGAATGCCGCATTACTATTGTTCACATTGGGTTAATTATATATATATATATATATATATATATATATATATATATATATATATATATATATATATATAAATGTATATATATAAATGTATTGTACTGTATTTTTTTGACATGAATTTCATTCAATTGAATACTGAAACACTTAATCCATAATAGAAATTTTTAATGGTCTACCTAAATTTATAACTGTTTTATAGTGTGTTAGCCAGTTAAAAGTTATATAGACTATATTTAAACTTATATATATATATTGACACTGATTTTGACATTGATGAATATGGGAATTTTCCTAGTACAAAATGTTTGACTAGGCTTTTATTGATTCACGTTTCTTTTTTCCTTTTACAATATGTATACACAGTATTAACGAAGTATTATGCAACAAAAATCTACATCATTATGAAGTAGAAACCTTTTGTTTTTCTTTTATTTTCTGTAGTATTATATTATAAAACTTAGCATATATAGATGAATAACTTAATAAAAATTAACTTAATCATTTCTTGTTTAAAATTTCAATTGATGCAGATGTAGTTGTTAAACTTTATGAGAACCATAATCTATTGAATAGTTTTCTTTGTATAGAAGAGAACTCCATTATGTTTATATCTACTTTTTTATTGTGAACATATTATAAAACGTTCTACAATAAATGTAAAGTTATATTCCCATATCTATTTATTGAAATAATTATCTCTAATGAATTGCCTAATTGAAACAGGTTCCAGTAAAATAATTGAACAGTCTTTAGCGTATATGATTAGGATTAGTATTTTAATTATTAATTTTATTATTAATTTATAATGATCAGTTTTGATTAATGTCAATCGTTTAATTGTTCTAAAGTTTAATAATTGTTATTTGACTTTAGTTTCCCATCAAACAAGAGAAAACTTTCAGTATAAATATTAAAACTGTCTTGATAAGTCTATAAGAATAATGATGAATATAATGAAAACAATGTTAATATTTATAACTTTGATTTTATAAAGTGTGGATTGGTTGAAGTTAGACATTAACACCGTTGGATGATGGCTTAGTGGTCTAGTGGTTAAGTGTTCACGCGTGAGACGGATAGGTTCTGTATTTGAATCTTGCAGGAAGCGGGATCGTGGATGCGCACTGCTGTAGAGTTCCATACTAGGACGAAACGGCCATCCGGTGCTTGGAGTTTTTCCATGTTGATCTAACTTTAATTGGTTCTTGATTTCAACTATTGAAATGTATTAAGTGCAGCAGAACAAATGAATGTACTTGAATGTATCTGTCTCTTTTCGGGTTTTAAATAATTTTATTATATATTAATAGTGTTCTTTTGTAAAAAACGTCGATCATTAAACTTCAAATGATAGAATTTTCAGCGGTGTAGTAACTATGTCGTTTACACAACTTTCTGGATTGTATGATGTCAATTTTTACTTGTTTTTGAGATATTTTTTACCATCGACTTGAAGGAACACAGAAATCTAAAAAGCCCTTTATAGTCTATGCTTAAGTTTTGATTTATCAGTGGTGCTAAACGGATATAAATACCATTCTTGTACCTTTCAGTATATAGTCGATGGAAGGATTTCCTGTAATTCTATTGGTAAACTATCAACTACTAAATAAAAAAACAGTTAGCAACGTGGTAACTTACCGAAACCTATGTGTGCAAATCATCTTGTTACTTCATTACGTCTGTTATCTCGCGTGGAGGAGCATAGGTCGCTCACTAGGATTCGCCGTCCGATTCTGTACTGAACAGTCCTTTCCAATTGTTTTCAGTGGTTACTTATTCTCTTGATGCCTGCTTCCGATTCCCGACGCAATATGTTCCTTATTCTTCCTCTTTTCCATTCCCCTACAGGATTCTAAGTTAGCGCTTTCCTCATGATGCAGTCCTATACACTCCCAAAGTTTGTTCCTAAATTTCTCCCCGGGTGGGATCCGGTTTGTTCTATCTCGTAGTAGATTGTTGCTGATGACGTTCGGCTGACGGACATAGAGTATCTTAAGTAGACAACTATTTATAATTATGTGTACTTTTTTGATGAGGGTTGTGGTAGTTTTTCAAGTTTTAGCTCCATACGGTGTAACTGTCTTGACGTTCATATTGAAGAATCTTTGATATTGGTGGACAGCAGTTTTGAGTTGTATATGTTCATCGATTGTAGAGATGCTGCTCTTACTTTTCCAATACGTACCTTCACGTCTGCATCAGATCCTATTGTTCTTCGATGGTGCTGTCCAGGTACGCGAGAGTTTCCACCAATTCCAGAGTTTCTTCATCGAGTGTGATTGGGTTAGTGTTCTCATTGTTGCATTTGAGGATACTCCTTTTTCCTTTGTGTACGTTGAGGCCTGCTGATGCAGAGGCTGTTGCTACTGTGGTCGTATTCATGTGTATGGGATAGAAATGCAAGGTGACCTGCGAAGTCTAAATCGTCCAGTTGCATTCAAACTGTCTTATAGTGATCGGAAACTGAATTTCCAAAATGGAGTATTAGACTACATCATAAAGTACCGCTTAAATTTATGCTAAATCGATTATTTATGTCGATTTTCATAGTCGTAGATTTAGCAAATAATATTTAACATAAACGTTTCTGTCAGCTTTTGTTTAAAACATTGAGCTTTTATGAATTTTAATTAGTTGTGATGCATATTGAGCATGTGAATTATGTTTCTCATTTTCATTTATTTTGTTACTTAACTGCAAATAAAAATTGAGACAGTTTATATTCTGTTTAACTACGATACCACAGTTCATATTTAAAATAAGCTTCGATGGTTTTCAACTGAGTTTCACTGTTTTGATTTCACAATTGACTGATTTCAGTGAACTCACATTTAGCAACACCTATCATAAAATGATAATTCACTTGTACCTCAATTGTGGGAACGTGATCCTAAACATATGTGACATATGTATTGTTACAAAGAAAAATATCATAGAAAATGAATTCTAACAGGTGTTTTGATATAAAACATCCATTCACTATAACTTGCTGTATTATTTGATGGTTCATTTACGTAGAAAAATGACCTCTTTTAAAGACCATACTTTACAAAACTAAATACTTGAACATCTTTTAGCCAGTCGCAGTTATTCATTTTCAGATTTGAAAGTCACTAAGAGAGTTTACAAAAATAATCACCTCTATTAGTTTAGATGCAATTACTATGACTACATGAATGAGAGATTGTAAAGTGACAATTAAAAAATTAACATCATTGTAAATTGTTTCAAAAAAAGCAAATGAATAAAAACAATCTTATTGTGCACTACGCTAACATTATGTATTAAAACCGTTAGCGAATCGCTTGTCTTGACATCGCCGCTGACATTCTCCTAATTTTTGGTGATAGATCACTATAGAAACCAAAACTCCTTCCAAAATAATTGTTTCTTACTAGGTCTCTATTAGTCACAACACATTGTATACCCGGTTCTCATGTTCGTTAAGAGATTCATAGGATATCCATTGTTGAAGCTGTCAAATATCGGCAGAAACAATTCGTGATTAAGTCATTTATCTTCAAATTTCATCCGTTTCATTAGAATTACATTTTGTATGCTAGGATATTTTGCTAATAGTACCACTATTTTCACCTTATCGCCTTTCACATTGATCTTCGCCACTAAGGCTGATGCAAAGTGTGTCAAGTCAGACCCAATTGTTTTGCTTAGAAATAACATTCCAAAAACCATTCCACGTTAATATTTGTGACATATTTCGAACCACTTTTTAACGAGTAAAGTCATCTTAAAAGCCTGGTACAGGTGAAGCAGGTAAATTAGATCTATAACAACCTATTGATCAGTTAATCGCCAATTTTAAACAACCTTAGTGGTTCACTTAGAAAGTAAGGGGTCAGTTTAGGAAAACGTTACGAGATAAGGAAAATATTTGTTGAACAATTACCGACCAAGACATTTGAACGAAGGTTTAAAGATATGAGTCTAAGTAAAAATCCATTGACAAATGAAAGTTTGATTAGTTTGATTATACATCGAAATGAATTTACAAAAATTAATATATTCTCTCCTCAATTCTTGGTATTCCCACCTTTCCTAAACACCGTCTAATGTTGTCAAGCTCCATGTTTCACTGTTCAACACTTCGTGTAAATACGATATACGATAGTTTGCTTTCGTTATTCGGATTCGACAAGTTCAATAAATAACACGACAGTGACATGTAACTCGATCATTTCAAAATTACGAATTAACTGATCTATAAGTTTAAACAGTTGAATTCATGGTTCGACATAAGCTAGACCACCATTGAAAACTGGGAACAGTGGACGACTGTCTCGCCGTAGTATGGAAATCGTCAGCGGTGTGTAGTCCCGATTAACCTCTAGATCACTGATTGGTAGACATCTAACAGCGTTAATGTGTAACATTAATCAATCCATGATATTTCACAACACTTCATGCATTATGTGAGGTAGATATCTGTCTCTAGCTGACATAGATTGGACTCCACTGATCATAGTTTCTCACTAGAACCCCAGGAAATCCATTTTGAATATATAAATAATGTGAACATTGCCTTTGCATTTTAATACTTTTATATTTTCTATTTCGTTTTTTGGCGCATTCGCTAACGTTTTAATTCCTGATATTAACCTGAACATATTGTTTTTCAAATGTCAAGTAAATTGCAGTGATGTCCTAATTTTCTGTTTAATACGTAATAACACCCATTCTATTAGTTAATTCTGCCGAATTGAAACAACAATTAAAAAAGTATTTGATCAACCATTTTGTATATATTTTTCATCTTTTTAATATTCTAGAAAAGTGGTCATTATGTACAAATATTTACAAAAATGGTTATTAGGATCTATTAAGGCATAAAGAAAAGAAATTATTTTTTTATATTACAAAATTAAATTGTGCAACTTGATATTCATGAAAGTCAACTGATAGAGGTTGTGATTAGTAAAGTAGTACTCGTTGATTGCTTATCTGGCAAGAGGAAATAAAAATTACATATGATTCAAGATAAATAATTATATTCACTGGTGTTTTATCACAGACATCAATCTCATCTCAATCTGTCAAATTACTTCATTCATATGACTGACATCAAAATGTTTACCATATACATTGTTTTGAATGCAAATCAATGGTGTATTTGTACTGCTACACTTCTGACTTTCGTTACACAAAGAATCATCGCAATGTGATTCAGTTACCTTATCAAAACTTTCTAAATTATCTTGATCGGAGATTTTAGAACTAATTTGTGTATTTTCGACTTTCCTTTTCGAATTATTTTTCTCATTCTCAACTTTGCTGGCATTTAGAAACTGTGACTCCAAAGGAACAATATTCATGTTAATTTGATTAGCCGCCTCAGATGGAGACAAGAATGTTAAATGTGGTAAATTCAAACTAGTCGTAGGAAGCTGAGCGAGAAGAACGGGACTAGAAAACTGTGCTGTATGTTGTTGCGTTTGCAAAATGTTTGATGATATTGGAGATAATATTGGTGGTTGTGATATCATTTTATCGTTTGTAGAAATCAAATGAAATGCATGATTAGTGTAATAATTACCATAATTGGAAAAGTTATTATCACTTTGACAGCTGATAGACGGTATAGCACTAGCAGCTTCCATGTCTGTTGTCCAGTAAACAACTGCTCCACTAAAATCACAATTGCACGAAAAATCTTGTGCCGATTGTACGGAGGGTTCTACAGTAATGATGCGATTAATATCAACTTTGTTATTAAATGTAACTCTCGATGATTGATTTGATGATGTAAGATTTTTAACTCCTTCATCGGAATTAAGTTTCTCACTCTCATTTATTTCATGAACTGAGCATATTTCGATGGAGTCATGATTTGACTTCAGTATATACTTATTCGGACTATTCACAGTTTCTCTTGGTAATGCGGTCAATGTCAATGGGAAAGAAGTTGATACCTTTTCTACTGATTGGTTCGACATACCTATAATGTTTTTACTTGTTTTATTCTTACGTTTATATATGCAACAACCGATTGAACATATTATTACAACGGATATGAATGCTAAAGATAGGGCAAATCCTGCAATCGTAAATGCAATTCTTCCAGTACCAGAATATCTGGAAATATTTTTGATCATATCTAGCTTACTTGTCGACGATACTACTGAAGGTGATGAAATTGAGACACTTCGATTTATACTGTCATTATTAGTGAAGCTGTTATTAACTGTTGTGGAAAATAAAAAGTTTTTTATTGAAATTTTTAAATCACCAAAACCTGGTTGTACAAAAATAGGATCTGAAGTGATGAAGTACATTTGTGGAGTATAAAATGTTCCTAAAGTAAATATATATGGAATAGTTTCTTCATAAAATTCTATACTTTCATTAGGTATTTGATATGCTTCAAAATAAACATTATTTGATAGGAAATCTTGTAAACTGATACCTATAGAACTAGTTAGTTTATCATTTAAATAACCACTTGAAATAACCAATCGGTCATTAATATAAAATCTCCCTGATTTTAACATCGTTCCAGTTGGAAATGTGAACATTGTGATTGACATGACCTTACGATTATTCTTAGTTGATACTTGATTTGGAATGTCATATTTATGCAAAAGTTCATAGAATTTACTTATTTCCAAATTTTCTGCATTAATTTTAGTCATTTTCCCAGATGTAACATAAAGTGTGTCAAAGGAAATCAACGACTGTACAGTTATGCTCACGGTTAGAGTCATGTATGAAGAGTATTCGCTAGTTAATTCATCAGGTAGCCAATCAAAGATATTTGATCGAGTTCTCAAAGACGTTCCGCAGACGGATTTTTTTATTTCAATGGTAAATGAGTCATGTGGTGATGAAAAATTTGTCTTCTCATAGTATACCCGGTTCTGTTCTAACTGTGTGTAGCTGAATCTATATATAGGTATTGTATCTACAAATACTTTGCCATGACTAGGCAGTTGTTTTATATGGAAGAATGTTAAGTGATTTGTTTGGTAATCGTGTTGATAGTTTTTCCATTTACTTGATTGTACTTGTAACATTTCTGCATCAAGCCATAGTTTTGTTTCATTTTGTAACAGGGTTAATTGTACTGAATTGTTCAGCATAACGTTGTTCAGTATGATTTGAAATTGTAAAACACCGCTCAATTTATTTATTTGTAGATTAGGATATTCATTTTGATAAATCTCAAATGTAGCTGAATCGTAAACAGCTATATTAGGATCTTGTTTGCTTCCATCAACATTATTTGCAAAATATCTGAGCCTCTTCAGATTGACATCATTTTGTGTGATTTTATACAATGTTTCACATTCAGGTGTCAAAATATCATGCTCTTGTTTAAATGAATTATATGAATAGTATAGTTTACCATATTTTGGCAATATTTTAAAATGTATGTAAATAAATTGTGGCTGAATAAATTCATGCTGGACATATAAATGTTCATTAGTAATAGTTACATAATCATTCATTTCAACTGTAATTAAAGTTTTACTTATGCTCAAAAGATTATTTCTATTTATTTGAATTCCTGGATAGATGAGCTTAAGTGATGTATTTAAGTTAGGAACAATTTGTATTGGAAAAATAATCGGTAGTTCATAACTGGTCAACGAGCGATTTAGTTGGTATACCTAATAGACAAATTTGAAAAGTACATAAATTCATCTCTTCCGACATAAAAAAATTAATTTTATTTCATTCCACAAGATAAATAGTAGTATTATGTTGCTAAATTGTCACTACATCCAATACATTAAAGACACATAATGAGTTAATCAGAAAATTGATTAGAGTAAAAATATGAATAATAATGGATCCAGTTTACAGTCTTTTGAATAAGATTTTAAGTATTTTCATAAAGTCGATAAATATTTTCCGATAAAACTATTGAGCATAGAATATTCTTGTAACTGTTACATTACCAGTCTATAATCCAACTCTAGTTATAAAATCAATAAAACTCGACAATGATTACTAGATGATCCAATAAAAATATTCCTGTTCAACATATGACAAACCACATTCCATACAAGATTGTGCTATGTAAACTTTCGCAACTACTGGTTACCTAGTAGTCATAGTAATAATAATAATTTTGGTAGTACTAACAGTAACGGAAATTACAGTAAATTGAATTATTCAGTGATGTTAATATTTACTGTTTACATTGTTTAAGCTATAAATCTAAATTATCTGGAAAGCATACAAAAATCATTGTTTTCATAACATTTACCAATTTTGTGGTAGATCAAAACAAAATAGTTAATCATTTGGATATAGTCACTTATAACATATATTTACAATTTAAGTAATAAATAATTTTATTTCTATAGTTTAGAAGCACCAGTTTAACACGTTATACGCAAGTATATTTAACATTTGAGATATTTGTACAATATTTGATTACAACATTTATTAATATAAATAAACTACGCTTGTCGTTGCAACTGCTTATTTAAAAATGACTTGAATATTAGTTCATTTATGATTATTTTTGACCTCAATATATTTATAATATTTAAATAGTTTTCTTGTGCGTTTTCAATTAATGTTAAATATTACCAGTAAACTGTTAATTATGGTAATTATTTCAACCATACAATTTATTTAACAGTTTAGTTAATTATAACTAACACTATAATCGATTGAAACAACTATACTGACCTTTTTTGTTAGTGTCATATTTTCACAAAAAATATTCTATGATTTCAACTTTTGTTTCCATATAAATAGTTTTTATTTGAGTATTATGACATAATGTTGATGATATGAAATACATATTGTTTAAATACATTAACTTGGAAAGTGACCATAAATTAACTTATATATATATATATGAAATTCTTTACTTTTTCATTTTTAAACACTACTGATTAACATCTATATAAATTATATGTTTTTCATGGTATAACCAACAATTATATTTTCTAATATTTTAAGATTTGTCTGTGTATTTAATAAATCGAAATGAAACGTGCAAATGAACGATTACTGGTAAAACTTCGTACGTACGCACATCAGTTCAAGTTGCCATATCAAATTAGCATAGAGATGCAGTTATTGATTCAAATCCCGTAGTATTAGAGGTAGTAAAATTATAAGCAGTAGTCGGAAAGATTAGGGTTTGAAGATGTTATTTGAGGAGTATAATCCAGTGGAATAGATTTGGAAGGAAAATAAAGGACATGAAGAATTCAGAAGATTAGAGTTTGAGAAAACAGAGAGAGTGGATGCACCTGCGCCATTATAAACGATTTTGAGCCATGTAATTCAACATCTCTAACCATGAGTTGCTATCATCTCGCCGTCCCCAACCACGTAGTCTACATCTATCAACATGGCTCAGTCCACTTGTCAGTGACTTCATGGATTTGTGCCAAGTTTTGGTCTGGCCGCCCTTAGCCTACTTCCAACCAACTCCTATATCACTGAACATCGCACGTCGGGGCAGTCGGTGGTTGGGCATACGTAGCACATGTCCCAGCCATTCCAACTGATTAAGTTTCACTACATCATCAGTTGATTTGCCATCCTTACCTATTACCCGTTTCCTAATAACTGAGTGGTCCCAGGATATACGAGAAATGTTTCGAAGACACCTATGATCAAATACTAGTAACCTACGAATATCCTCTACTCTTACTGGCCATGTTTCGCTGCCATAAAGAAGGACGGAACGAACTGCTGCACAGTAAACACGTCCTTTGGTTGATAGACGAATATCTCGCCTACGCCACAAATGACGCAAGTTGGCAAAAGCTAGTCATCTCTAAAAGGACGTCAACAACAAAGTTAAACAAGAATGGAGAGAGTGGACAGCCCTGACGAACACCACTTGAGGTAATCAGTTTTGATGACAGTTAGCCATAAGCTCTCACTCGGCCAGTTGTGTTCGAGTAGAGAGCCTTTATAAGGTCAATGTACTTCTTTGGTACTCCTTTCAGAGACAAACACTGGCATAGAACCTCAAGATCAACAGAGTCAAATGCCACCTTAAGGTCGACAAATGCTACGATTGTGGGGCGTCTGAATGTGTGTCTATGTTCTAGGACCTGACGTAGTGTGAATATTTTGTCTAAACAACCACGTCCAGGTCAAAAACCAGTCTGGTTTTCTCTAGTCTGCTCTTCACGAGCTTTGGTTAGAAGTCGAAGTATTATTGAAGCTAATATTTTAGACACTATATTAGTCAAACTAATTCCTCTGTGATTGTCACAGGAGGACTTTTATCCTTTCTTATAGACTGGCACAATCAGTGACTGAGTCCAGTTAGATGGGATTACATCTAGTTTCCAGGTTCTACCTAAAACCTCAGTCAACCTCACTGCGAATACTAGAACTCCATCCTTAGAAATCTCAGGGTAAACCTGTCAGGGCCTGCTGCTCTCCCACGCTTCAAATTTCCCATCGCTTTTTCGACTTCGCAAAGAGTTGAAGGGCTTACATCAACTTGCCATTCGGGCTGACTGGAGATCGTGGGAAACCGAAGTGATAAGTATTTAAACCGTTTACATTTTCACCTGAAGTATATTCGTGACAACACAGTTACTTCTCATAACTATTACTAAAAATAATTCTATAATTAGTTCACTTTGAATTACAAAAATCAAGATAGAACAGAAGATATATAAGTAAAACGTTACTCGATTGATGAAAAGTAAGCACTTAGACTTATTTAAGAGTTGAATAGGTTATGGTCTTAAATTCACTGGCATTAAAACGTTATTTGTACTTATATAAAATTTATCTTGATTATATCATTTTTTAATTTTATTCTCAAAGTGAATATGCATCAAATAATTTGATGAGTTTTGATTCCTAACCAGACTCTAACTTGATGAAAACTATGAAGTATTTTAAAAACAAATGTAAGGATTATTCTCATTTATAAAAAAAGGACTTACCAATAGTTCGAAACTGTCTTTTTTTGTTAATGAGCCGTCATGTCGATAAATAAATTTTTCTGCTAACTCGCCACTCAATAAACCAGGAATTATACTACCAGTTTTTATCCTTTTTGATCCTAACCAAAGGGCTCCATGTTCTGGAGGTCTTGCAATCTTAAGCTGGCCATTTGAATATAAAATCACATTAAGATAAATAAATTATCATAATTCATTATAATAGAATAAACGTGACTGAAAGTAGTTCGTATCAGGAACCGATATAAACTCGATGATTGAAATAGAGTTGTGTGAACAGTTATTGTTTATATGTTTCGATATTTTTAGTAACAGCTCTACTCATATCATGCAATAAATGAATAAAAAATCTTACTCTTACATAAAATCATGTTATCGTTCAGTGAATGAATCATTTTGCCACTTAAGGTCGTTATTAGTTTGTAGTGAAAACTGTTTTCAAACTAGTCCATGTCCTATATAAATCATAAATTAAATTGCTTTGCTCTAAAAAATGTTCCTTATCCTATCGTTTTTATAAATATTATATCACATATTAGTAACATTTTCACAGGAACTTAAGTAATGAACTCAAGTAGCATGAGTTTTAGTCTCGATCACTTTGATAACTAAACATTAGAACTGCAAAGAGACGGTCGTTAATTTATTATTGCAGGATACAATGACGCGAAGATTATCAAAATTTTAAAACTTAACTGCAATAAAAAAAGCGTTGGAATTTGAACGAACTATAAGTCTTTGTCCTTTAGAGATTAATAGATAAGTTTATCTTTTATTCGATTAAAGTAATCCATGGGGAGTTATCTTTAGTTAGTTCATTCATCTGATAGAATTTGGAAGGAAATTTATAAAATTGTTAACTGACTTTCAACTTATAAATTATTTAATATATTTAATAAACTTGTGACTAAATCATGAATAACATAATTTAGAACATCTACTGAGAATATATGAACAGTGAAAGTCTCACTAAATTCAAGTATGAACAGAGTACAAGCAAGCTAAAGTATTCACTTTAGTCTGTTCATTAGATTCAACAAGAAGAATGATTGTATATCATCATAATGATCATAAACATTAGTGAAGTAAAACCGACTTACATTTTTGCTTTCTGATCTATTATTTTTGAAAAAACCACGAATTGGATTGGGATTGATATGATTCAGTGTAATTTCACCAGTATGACCATTATGTAATATTAAAGGATTAATATTTAATAGACGATTTTGATTATATTTAAAAATATAATCATAAGATATGGAAATTGAACCAAATATTATTTGAGATGTTAAGTGCTCTGTATAATCATCATAGTTTGATACATCAGTGATATTATGATCTTTTTTATTATTGTTATTGTAATTTCTCTCATTGTCCTTATTCATAATGGTGGTACGTTTTACAATACTTGCACTGACAATATATTCATCTTCAATGTCAGAATTATATTGTAACAATGTAAATTGATTTCTGTTTATATGCCATTTATTTGAGTGAAAGGTATAGGCTATTCTTCCCAATTTGATTTCCTCCTGTTGAATTAAATAAAACATTGAATTGTACTATTATGATAACTTTATGTTTACCGAAGAGTCACAAGTATTAAATAGGGCAAAAAATAAGTAATATTTCCACTGACTACCTGTTTTAGAGTCAACCTTGACTGACAAAACCTTTGAAGAATATTGTGAAGGACATCAGCGTCCATCTATAAGGTAGTAAGTGTTCATTTAACATAACAGAAGACATCTATAAATAGCCTGTTAAGTAGAAAATGTTGAAAGGTATTCTGGTAAACTTGCCAAAAAACGCAACCATAGAACCTTAAAGAATGGCACAAAATAAATCATAGGTAAGCAATCGCTGATTCATAGATAGATTTTTGACGAAATAAAGCTAATCAATTGAACCCAACTATCAAACTACAAACAATATCATCCAATCAATATTGTATGCTATAATATTATTCATTAAATGTACTTATCATTACTGATAATTTAGAAGTGTAGGATATGCCTCTATCGCTTCTATGAAATTAACATTCTAAAACTGCTAATAAAACAAGCATGTCAAAATAGAAAATCTTTTAATTTTATTTCCTATGAATCATACATAGATTGTCCTACGATACTGTAACATTGGTATTGCAATTTCTTAAAATGATTGCTTAGTATAAAACATTTCTTCATTATTTTCCTGGTGTCTACCGAATTTCTATTCAACATAAATCTTTATCTTGTGTTTTTGGTAATTATTTAATAGAATTCATTGTTTATTGATTTGTTTATTCGTTACGTTAAATAATTAAGCGTAATCAATTATGAAACATTTTCCCTTTATTACCGTTTTGTCCGTATGCATATAGACGTATTAATATGACTTTACTTTGATGTCAATGAAGTTAGTGCATAAGCGAAATTACTACCTGTTCCACCACTTTTCGAATTTTAAATTCAGTTGAAGACAGTTACATATCTTAGTTATAAAGGTATATGAAATTCCTTTGTGTCTTCTTATGATATTGTCCAGAACGATCATAAAATATCCACAATTAAATCATTTAGTTTAGGGAATTGAACGCAACCAAAAGCATCCACCTGAGCTGAAAATATTCAGCGCTTAAAGTGAATCTTCCTTAAAACATTGGTTTGAAATAAAAAGGTTGTGTTTATCAAGTGACACAAGGAATAAGTTATGATTGTTATTTTTCTGTGGCAATACGCTGTTGAAAAATGTATTTTTGCTTATGGTTCTTCAACCCATCATAATGGATAGTCTGGCAATCAAATTTAGGTAGTTTGCATTAGTTATCTTTCGTTTAATTGTAGTATATCTTCGTTCTTCATAGATAGCAAAATGAATAATTAACAAATAAATCTGTTTTGACGAAAAAAGTAAGAAAATTGTGATAATAACTTAACTTTATACTAAGTTAAGATAGCAAAATCCAATAATTAGGGAGGAAAATATACCTGAGTGAATTCATATACACTATCATTCCAAACTGCCAAATGATTTTTGTCTATGACACTAAACCTGACAATTGATCCATGTGTCGGCTGAGATAAAACCTTGTACACCACATAAAGACCCAACTCGTTTTCAAGGTGACACTGACTTAGCATTAAACATGAAAGTGATGACGAAGTATTAGACAGATTGTTGTTCTCCAGCGCAGTTGAATTAAATTCATAATCCATCGGTTGCAGGGCACTGAACTTTATTTGAGTATTGATGTGATGAGGAGTGATTATTTCAAATCTAAAAATAGTAAACAAATATATTCAAAATTTTCTTGGCGCTTACAGTATATTTAGAAGCAAGTAAAAATTTCACTGTGATTAAACATTTATTTCCACCAACAATTTCTTCTTCAACGTAGATTATCCAGAGTGCAAGCTTTCATTTAAATATTGGCAGTTCGTTTTTACTTTGTAAATCATTCACTGATAAACCACATAAAGAAGTTTAGATTTAGGAGATCTGAAGTCATATAATATGGTGACCTACTCTAGTGAAAATGATGGTTTTTGAGGATTGACATTAAAGTTCCTGAAAAGAGTGAATATTTCAAATTGTATTGTCAACAAAGTCCGCTGATTTTATTGACAATATGTCCAAAGAAACGACTGATTGAACTATTAAAATGACGTCAGAGACAAGCAGATTAATTGCGATCTGTTATTCTCTCTAAAAACTATTTTGACACATATTTTAATAAAATAATGATACACGAATAATCTCTAGTATCGGTTATCTATTCATCCTACTTAAGTCACATTCTGACTTTGGTTATTATTCGCTTATCAATCTTCTCTGTTTTTATATGAGCGCATAGGTGTGTGTACATTTCTTATCCCATTCATCAGATGTTTGTAACTTGTTTTTGTGTAACTATAAATATTGATTAACGCTTGGTTAAAAGTGAGTTGGCTTGCCCGCCATCTCCACTGAGCGTCGTTTCGCTTCTCTGTATTGCATTTGCTTCATATACAAAATATATGTATCCAAAAGTCCGTTCTCGTTATTTGACCTATTTAATTTTAGAGCCCGTCAACAAACATCATTTGATCTAAATGACGACAAAAGAAAAGGCCTCACAAACCAGTCGAATCCATCTAGTCAGTCAGTCTTGAGTTCTGTTAGATGTATGAGGACGGTTATCATTTCCCGGTTTCCCACACCGTAAAAGGGTTCTTCTAGAGGTACCTGAAAAGGAAATTGGATTAAAGGTGGTCTTAGTAACCTAAGAGCTTGACCACAGTGCCCGAAGGACAACCGATTGAGGCCGGTCACACAATACTTTTGTGTGGGTTATTTTCATGTTAGCTCCGCAGTTGTTAAGACCTTACCGTCGGAGACGGTTATCCCTGGGATAAGGTGAGGTGTGCATTTTTATGGTCGACTTTATTTAACCCCACCCCTCCTTGTCGGAAGGCAGCATCGCTGTTATGCTGGTTGTCTGAAGGGAACACCTTACTGCCGTCACAGCTCTGTACAGTCAGCAGTACGACTTCACCTTTGGACATTGAGTTTGCTGCTTTAAGCTTACTGTTCTTTAACCGACCTGTCTAGTATGATAGGACCTTTAGGAACGATTTTTCCAGCCAGTATTGCTCGATTGGTTCATAACAATAGGCAAGCTTGACCACCACGTCAAGGCAGCAACAACGGTCGGGATTGAATCCATTATTAGCATTTAGTATAGCTAAGTTATCACAAATGGAATGGACCTCAAAAAATTATCATAAACAAGTGTCTAACACATTAATTTCTTACCCTTTGGGGAATACTAGCAATGTTTGGTTGCTTATGACATTCAATTCTACTGTGCCAGGAATTATTTGAAACTTATAAATTTCAGACCGATATAAATTGTATATCAGAACAAAAGCAAAACCACAAGCTGTACTTTTCTGTGAACCTATGAATGTTTACAAAAAAAAACTTATGAATGTGATTAAAGTTATTTGTGGAAAAAATACACTGTTGATAATGATAAAACACAGAGATTTATTCACTGAAATGCATTAAAAGCGTAGGAAATCTTTCCTTCCTTTACTTACAGGAATTAAAATATATTAATCACGAACACTAATTAACTTACACAAAATTCAACAGTCATTTCTTTTACTGATAAGTAATTAAGTCATCAAAACATGCCTGTCACACGGGTAGGTTGCTTGAAACAAAATATATTATATCGAAAACATATATACGAAAAGTGTTTTTATCTGTACAAGCGTAGAACTTACAGTTTATTTCAGATAAATAAAAGTATTTACTCACTTCTTAGTTGATTAGTTAACATAGTGTTTTGTGAAATGATCTAGGATATCTTATTTTTGAAGTGACTAATTAACTAGGTAATTTTGATTAATCGGATGGTAAACTCTGCATGATTTTAATCACGTAACTTGCCCCATTATAAAAATAAATATGCCGTTACAAAAAGTCTCCACAGAACATTTCATTCATTAGTTCAATCTAAGTGTTAACAGACTGGCCAAATAAACGTATTCTAGTTATATACATATTCCTCTGTAATATATGGGTAAAAAATATAACATGCTGAAACAAACAGTAACTAGTGCTAAGAATGACTAATTTCTTATGAATTCGGTCGTTTCATTGAATGCTTGTTTTAATGAAATAAGAAATATATGCGAAATAATATCTTACAATGCGTCCACAATGATTTTATTAACTGCCTACTAATACCCAAACTAACTTAAGAATAAAAACTCGGAAATATTTGGTAGTTTGTTGGAACGCTTACATACACCAAACGTCATGTATATTATTAACTTACCGGAAAATGATTTTATTTCGGCTGATTTACTATAGTGAATTTGAGAAAACGTGTTTTGAGTAAACGAAACGCGTAGCCAAGCCCTAGGCGCTACCTGATTATTTTCATGCTCATAAAATCACTAGCTTGTTTCAGACTACAAAATTTTCAGCAAGTATAATGAACATTTGAACATCCAGTCACCTTTTCATATTCAAACATTTTCATTATGATTCTTTTCATACAAAACAGCATATCACTTAAAAAAAACAGAGAATTTTAGTTTACGAAGTACTTTATATCGTTATATTTAGCGTTCAAACTGTTACACAGAACCGAAGCACTCGTTTAAGCACTCGGTTTAGGATTGCGCCATACACTAAAGTAATAATTGTCAGTTAAGCCTTAAATTTTCTAGCGAAGTTAAAATCAATATCAACTAGGAAAATAGTTTGACACTATATACAGACGGTGATTCGTGTATTCTGCCTTTCCTCCAAAATACTGAAATGTACAATACAAAAAAACTGTATACAGCTTTTAACATCAATTTAAAGAGAAAAATGACGTGACAAATATCACTGTAAACGCTACGCTAGTGTATCTAAACAAAATTTGCTTCGAATTTTCGAGAAATACAAACCCATTTATCATATGAAATAGGGAAAAGAAAATACAAATTCCCAAATGATATATAGCTATGTAAATGATAACTTACTTGCGAATATTGCAAGACAATTTAAAAATTACTTTAAACATCATCTATTCCGTTAGTCAAAGCTTTATTAGACACTTAAGTTGTTTACCTTGCTAGGATTTATTCTTCATTTAAAATGTGATTTGCATAAACTGAAGTGCCTAAAATTGTCCCCAACTCTATAAGAATTAAATTTATGCTTTTTTTATTGAAGGTTAATTACCCACATTTGGGTGTTTCTTCCCCAATCATATTTTTTACTAAAACGAAATAACGAAATCTGAATTTCGAAATAGTTCCCTTTATAAACTTTTATTAATACTTCTGCATTGATTTTCTTTTATAGGATATTCCAAGCTTGAATAAAGTTTGGTAATAAAAAGATTTCTTGATAAATGTAGCGATTGGTAAAAATAGAAGTAACCAAAAAGTTTACATATCATGTCTAAACAGAAATAGTAATTTATGCGTTTATAGGAATTCCAAAACAAACCTATTACATATGAATTCGGTCAGTCCGCTTTTAAGAATTTATAGTACTATTATCATCAAGGAGGTTGGAAGAAGTGTCTGAGCTTCTTATAAACTGATAAAATGTTTCTAATCATTGATCCAGATAATAGTTTTCAATAGCTATATACATACTTTGTGGATGAAAACGTTTAGATTGTAATCTACTGAATAAACTTCACAATCGCTAAAATTATCGAACAAACTATGGAAACTAGACCTATCCGCATGTTAACATGCATAGCTGCTTTTCTCCACATCAGTCACCTGGTATTTTCTCATAATCTCTTTTACTTACTATGTCTAAAGGAAGTAAAGGTATGGAAATGAGAGGGATTTCTTCTGTGTCAATTATTCTACAAAAAAACAGGATTTGCGAATCAAATTAGGTATCTTAATTTTCGATTCGCAACAATGAGACCGAAATTTGCGATGCATAACATCTCTAGTTAATGACAATAGTACAACAGCATTTATGGTTATGTAACAAAAATATTTAGAAATACATATTGTCAATTATAGATAATTATTGTCCCGTCGCAAGACTGACAAATCGTTTTAATCCATTTTTTACAGATAAGTTTAGAACATTTTACTTTCGTAATTACCATTTCGATCTAACAAAGAAGAATAGTTCACCAGTCTTTAATAATTTTGTCTTATTATTTGCGTGTTATCATACAAAACGCAACGGTATATAAATCGGCTGCATCATATTTCGTACCATTTAAAGGTTTATACTTTATTTAATACAAATATGTAAGGGTAAAGAGGGTAAAAAACAAGTTTTCGTCACAAAGAAAATCTACTTTGAGCTAGGCTTCTAAGAAACATTCAAATAATGCAGTCGATTTTATATAGATTCTTGATATGAATTCATTTAAAAATGATGTAACATGCAGTGAAAGCAACTAGTTATGGTGAGAAACTTCCAAAATTATGTCAGTTCACACTAAAATTTAGAGGTAATAAAAATTAACTTTATTTTTTAACAGATTATATCAAAAGGATTACAAGTTGCAAAACATTTGAATAAGGTATTATTTTATTATCTGTTAAGACGTCAATATTAATTTTTGTTTGTCGAAAATTATAAAAACATACCGCTATGAACAAATCCAACTCGTCCTCGTCGAAGATCCATTTGTGTAAATGTACTTAAACTAACAGACAAACTGTTTAGAAACACCACGTGACCTTGATGAGTGTACAAGATTTCGTAGGTGATTTGATCTAAAACACATCAAGATAAAATTAGGATTGTGATGATTTAATGGGATGATTATTTAGAGAATAATTTTTATATAAAGTAGAGAAAGTGTTGAGTTAGGGGTTATTTAATCGAGAATGTCATATATGTCCGAATCAGTGAATTTACGCTTTAGTGTGGTGATATTTCAGTCAGTCCGTTGAATATGAGTCATCAAAAAACACAGATGAAATATATAAATTCTTCTTTCCATGATAGAAAATGAGAATGACAAGAAATAAATTAGGTACAAATCCGGGCAATTTATATTTATTTCATTCTAGACCTAGTGTTAAACTCAGTAAAGGTATATTGCCCGAACGGAATGGTGACGAATCGTTACAAAATTTTGAAGTCAACTGTATTATGTAAAACGCTTGAAAATAATAATTCATATTTGATCATCTGTTATGACCCGATAAGCAAATGAATGGTAACTTTTGGGATCCATTTAAGGACCAATACTATGCGTATATTTTTATCGTATATATGTTAAATAACTAAACTATTCATAGTCATGTCCCTCTTATTATTAGCCTTATTTTGACCTATGAACTATTATTATACGACTTACTATTCTTCAGTTATACCCTGCCTATTACCTCCCACATTCACAAATACATTTGTCCGAATCTTGTATAAATATTGTTTCCTATTTTATTAGTACGATGTGGTCTGTCCGGTTGTTATTTAAACCCAGTGTGCTTGAAATAAATTATTCATATTGCAGAGGCTGAGATTGATGTTCTGGACTTAACTGACTGGGCTAGGCAGTAAGCAGGACCAATGAGGACTCTAGGCTGCTCGCACATGTTTACGTGTAATTGGTCCGATCAATAATTCACTGCTCTCTAATTAGCGGTATCATTACGTTATACATTAACAGAGCACATAGACCACAAGTTATAACATCATCTATGATGAAAATCTACTGAAAGTTTGATGAAATTTACAAAACCATATTTATGTACATAAGTTAACAAAACTTATAAAACAGTGAGTTTAAGAACTATATATATTCACTTTTAATTAATTCGTAAATATTTTCACTCGACTAAACAGTATCATTTAATATAGCTGCGTAGAAGCAAAAAAGAAATGAAGCCATTTCAAAGTCTCAGAAACACTTTCAAAAGAGCAATACAAAAACAGGATAATTTTAAAAAGCATTATCTTTAATTCATCTGCCTAAAAACCATTCATCATTGTACTACTTTTTGAACTAAATAGTAAGACATCGATAACGTTTTAATTTTCATTCCGTTTACATTATTTCAAAACAAAAATTATGTGACAATAGCTTTACTAATTAAATTCAGGTGCTAATAAGTTCTGAATAAATTACTATCCCCAGGTTATTACTTTTGATACAATGGTTCAAAAAACACAAAATCGTGTTACGACAACCACCCAACTTGGTATCAATTACACATTTGAAATGTCTAATAGTTCCTTATTTTCAGCCCAGGTATATTTTTGAGTACGACTTCCAAAATCTGTAGTATTAAGGCTAGGTAATTTTTTGTCGGTTTCCGGACAAAAGCTGAATCAAGGCAAATGAATTTACAAAATTTATTGAGTTTCTGTTCATTACAAAATGACCGTTGGATTCCAGATCTTCTGAAATACCTGAAATTTTTACTAAAATCTAGTTAACACAATCCATGTTAGGTACAAAAAGAAATATTTGCATCTTAAGTTACCAATTTTATCTGGTAGCATGTGAAGTGGTCTTCTACATATTCTGAGTCTCCCACGCCTGTGATTTTATACTTCAAAACCTAATGTTTTCATTTATTTTCCTTTATCACGTACCTACATGTCAGTTGATCCTATTATTTAATCGTGTTTTAATTCATCTTACTGGTACGTACATATGTGTATCAATAAAAATACAAATCCACAATCCTTTTCGATAGGACAATACCTGCTGTTTATTAATCCATATTATTGAAACTATTTACACTAATAAAGACAATATTTTAGTGGAAAGGGATTCAGAATTTGGTTAGTTTCAACCAATTTTTTGAAATTCTTATTACCTTTTGTAAATTAATCAGATTAAATAAATCTATGAAGAAAAGAATACTAGATCAACAAGTGATAATTTACCTACAAAAAGATACGTAGATCAATTATTTATTCATTTGAACACATAAATATTGACACAATGGGGCACCGAATGCATATGCGACACACAAGCCACTTGATTTGTGTGTGGGTTATGATAGTGCCCGGGTAAACAAACTGAAGAAAGTGGTTTTCTTAGAGAGCCAGTGCTCAGACCTTCGTCCTAAAGGCCTGATCCACAAGGCAATGGAGCATTGTAAGGAGATGCAGTCCCGTGGTAGCCGGTGACTAACGATTGGTTCATGCGCCATCCGTTCCTTCAGGATGCTGGAGCCCATGTGCACCATTGGTTTGTAATTAAGGTTTCCCAACTCGCTTAGGTGAACCCTCCGTGTCCACCAACCCGATTAGAATGACGGACATTAGCCCTTAGTTCTCTCGATTTCGTAAACAACTTCCCCGCTTCAGAAGGCAGTGAGTATGACTTTCCTTTCAGTGGCTGTATACGCATGACCATGTGAGAGCATTACGAGGAGAGCTAACTCTCCCCTGTACTAGAGCACTTGGTTACGGAAACAACTAAAAACGATGAAGTTTCAATGATGTAATTTTCATGTATACATAAGTTATCCACCACGTCCTACATTCAAAGTCTTAATATCGCAGGCTTGAGCTTAGGAAGGGTCATATTGATAGATTATATCTATCCAAAAACCCAGTTTCGAGGGTTTTAATAGGAAATCACGTGGATAACAAATATCAGGACGGGAGAAAAAATATAAAAACTTAGTAAATACACGTTTTAGAAATACTGAAGAATACTTTGAAAAATATTACGTAAAATCGAAAATACTAGAGATCGGCAAATTCATTACTTAGCCCATTGAACTCAGGTTCATACTACTTAATGTTTAAGACCTTAGCTAAGAAAGTTAATTTCGTATAATTTTTTTCTTATGAGTTGATTAGAAGGAAGTTTTAAGCATGAGTTTAAAGCTTTGCGGTACTAATTAGAAAAATTTATTTGCAAGTGTAAAGAAATTTTAAAAATTCTCATCTTTAAAAGTAAAACAAGTAAATATGCTAATATTACTACTTTTAATTAAATCTTCTTCAGACTTTAATACGAAGTAACATTCAAATGCTTATCAGCTAACTAAGAATAATTAGTGTCTCATTTGTCTGTTGTTTAATACTGATTTAATTCTTTAAATAGTTTCATTGAAACACTAAAAACACAAGTTGAACAAAGGGATATTTCATTTCACTTAAGTCTTCATTTAGCCTTTACTTTAATCTTTAGGTTCTATCGTTAAATATAAAAGTGACAAATAAATGGAGGTCAATCAATTCAACAATCGAATACACGAGTCCATCTAAACTAGACCACCGTCGTTTAGTTACACAACGAATGCAAAATTAAAAATAAGATCAAATTTCATAATTATTTATTTATCACAACTAATTACCTAAAAGTAAGAATAGAAATTGAAAACAGATGAAAATATAAACTATCTAAATGTAAATGTTTATATTATTTGTTAGAATGATAACGAGTAATTATTACAAAGGGGTGAAATGAAAACCATGTAATGGGATTATTTAACACATTTCGTAAGATTAAAATTTAACAGAATCAAAAAGTTGGGAAGATCCAAAAGGATATTTTGAGAAAGGTAGTAATAAATACGTAGGAAGCCAATGGTAAATTGAGAACCTGTACAAGCTTTTTATGAATATAGATGTTAGGCTTGGAAATATGTATTCCTATGGCATCTACTCTATGTAAGAGCTGGGATCCGGGAACCGTAGAATAGTTTCTATGAGATTTTATGGATCAAGTTACAATTTGGCCAGTACTATGAGTGGCTTGTCTTCTCCTGTACTACATTTTGATGGTAGACGGTTGGTGGGTGTTGATAATAATCCCCGTTTAGCTTACATTTCGTGCTAGTTATAACTCGTCAGCGAGGCATACCTTTAATCTTCATGGAGCTGATGACCTCTGGTGCATGCAAACCTGATCCACGCAGTTTCACAATCTGAGATATTATCAATGAGGTATGCTGGTCGGGACTGATATAGGTAAATTGATTGATTTCTTGTCAATTATCTGCAACCACCTAACATTCCGACATAGTTCACAGGATTTGAAGTTACTTAAACTAATTGTTCTAATGCAGCCTGATAGATAGACTTTAATCATTACTAAAGGATTTCAATACTTCGTACTATTTACAAACCTATGCTTTGCCGAAAGATTGGGAGCTAATGTTAGCCTGTATATTATTGATAAATTCTAAGCTCTTGATGATGTCGTCTTAATAGATCTTTTATGGTCTGATCATGCAACATATGAATAGATTTTGCTTATAGCGAATGGGTGGGAGACTAAATAGGTGTATGCACTGACAAACAGAGACACACTATCTAAACGGACCTCCGCTTATCAATTTCTTCCTGTCTATCTAATATGTCGTGAGAATATCAGCCATTTTTGTATTGATTCTTACAAATGAATGTGACTACTGAAATTCCGAATAAAAACTCATTTTAAATAGGAAAAAGTGTATAACTTAATCAAAAACATTTTACGAAAAACTAATTAATATTAGGTGATAAAATTGAATAACTGTGATATCACAATATGAAACACCAAAAAAATTATCTGTTCGAGCTTGAAATCGCAATAAATGTGTAATATTACTTATATAGTTTAATGTTTGTGTACGGAATCTTCATAGCTCCAAATTGCATAAAATTGCTTTATTTTATCACTTATAGTTGTCATTAACACTAACTTGATGAATTGTAAACCCAGAAATTTCCCACTTAAAGTATGAGGTATAGATTGTTTATCCATTAGACTGAGTTTATCAACCAAACTTCCGGTTAACTCTTATACATTCCCTTTTATTATAATAAGGTGGATAAAAAACCTTCCATATAAATAAAATAAATATGTGGACAGTTCTGACCATCAGTCCCTAAAATCAGAACAAATTTTCAACACTGTCTTTTTAAAATTATGCTAGATAAACAATAACAACGTCCAGTCGAATGAAATAGTTTAAAGATAAAGTGTTACAGGCATTTTTGTTTTTGAGTTATGACTAAAGGTAATGACTATGACATTGAATCAAAATGTGTAAAAACTTAAAAACTTCATAAACAACTATGCTGCAATAGTGATTAAACCCAATGAAGTTATATGACTGCTGCTACTCGGCAGTACAGTAAACAACAATCATGTGTAAGTGTGAAAAACGCATAAAGTTCAGACTATTTAAAAACAATATGCAAAAGGCACTCTCAAGAAATGTGCATAAACATATAGTTATAAAGATCCTACATTTTTGTATATCTCATTTCCTAGCAGAACTAATGCTGAGTATAACATCGATTAAAGTATAAATTAATTGTAATATTCGCATAGGTTCTTCTGATATTCACTTAGTATCGAAAATATATATTTCAGATGGTTAAGATTTATTACTAACATATTAGTAGTACTTATCACAAGTTTCATCAAGTTGAGTAGCATACGGTTAGCAAGTTTTATTATCATGATATATTCTTACCGAAATATAAAACTTTGATAGAATAAAATAACTAAAATATTGTCAACCAATCATAACTCATTAACATCTATTGAAACTAAAAGTTTCGTTATTTTGTTTTCGTACTATAAAATGTCAAGAAATATAAAATCAGTCTGAAATACATTGCTTCGAATTTTATTTTTCTGTAGACTATTATTTAATATCTTACAAGTACAATACTTACAAAAAAATACTTAATGGTTATAATTGATTTTAAATAATATGATACCTTCCAAATTCCCATCTTTAGATAAAAATATTCTCAATCATCGCAAAATCAATTTCAGTCGAAACTTACCTGAATTGAACCCACTTGTCAATGCTGCATTTAAATAATCCGTCTGGATAACAGCTGATGAACCAGTTAAAATGCGCATTGGTCTACAAGCCCTTAAATATGGTCGAGGATTCATCTCATTTAAAGTAAACTTAATTTTGACTGGATTAACTGTCATTGTTTTTGTTGTAAGTTCCAGTACAGTTAACTAGAATTAAAAAATGAAATAAAACTCATTTCAAAAAATATTCTATAATTACTGTTTGTGAAAACACAAGACAACCGTTGAACTATTTAATGCATTTGTAAATAACCCTATAAAGAGTTAACACTATATATGTATATGAACGTGATCAAAACTTATTTGTATTTATTGACAATCCAATTTTTATTTTTAGATTTTTTTATTCAAACAAGTATTGTCTTTTCAAAAAAGAAACTACTTAGTTACTAAAGCAAACAACTAACATGAAATCATAAAACACCAAATGCTCATTCTTGTGCTTACCGAGGTGATGAAAATATCAGTAACAAAACGAAATTATGAAGCACTATAAAGTGATAAACGAAAATTTCAATCATCACGGTTTTATTCATGATAAAAGTAGATCTTACCCTTTTCTTCTGTTTCTATTTTATTTACTTTTATTCAAGAATTTATATGAAGAAAAGGTTTAGCCTATATTTAAAACAATTAGTTGTAATTAATATTGACAAATGATATAAAATGCTATGATTTAGCTAAAACATTTAAAAAGCATCTATTCTATGTAATTGAGCCATCGATGGTGTAACTCTCATCATTCGAATGAATCACTTGCTGAATAATACGTTCAAATCTACTTAGATAGTGAAAATAAATATTAAGTGAACGCATTTTTAAAGAATAAAATACATATAAACGAATATCAGAGTGTTTCATGAAAATCAAAAACTAAGTTTAAGAATGTTAGTGAACCATGCAGAGTAAGTATTAAGTTCTAAATTACAGACTTACGTCAACTGAGTCTTCAGATATTGAATTGTTTCCATAGTTTTGATAATAAATATCATTAGTGGCAAGATCTACATCAGAAAATAGGCGAACTGTTCGATTAAGCCTGAAATAAATAAAATACTCATATTAACTAGTAAACTTTATTCATCCTGAACTTGAACAATTGCTGTGTAATTAACTTTAAAGATGAATAACACTGAATAACCTGCGTGAAACAAAAAATGTATAATGAAGACACTTATCCAGGCTTCACGGATATTAATGCCAAACAAATTACTCTAGTAAAGCTGGCGTTTTAGAACATATATTTTAAAGATGACTTCATTCATAAATAACTTAGATATATCGCTAAACATTATGCCCTGTCACTGACGTATATCTAGTCTAATACATGTTTTTTGTAAATAAACAAAACGGTAACGAACCATGGATTGTCAGGAAAGTATATCTTAACAGATATAAATAAGTGTTTCAATTTATTTGTCATTCCAATCTTTGATAAATGGATCATTTGGAATTCTCATATGTTCAGAATTTTACGTTTTACCGGATGGTGAAGTTGCTTGATGAAAATATTTTGTAAGCCTTGCATACTATATAATTCCAGTTAGCATTCCCATAGTGTTGAAAGATTGATAGAGCGTTAGTTGAGTATTAAACAACCCTAACATTTTCTTCCTTGATAAAGCTTACGATCAGAAAACCAAAACATCATTTAATAACATCTATAACTTACTTTTTTGAAATTATTAAGCCATAACTTGGCCCATTCTTCACCGTATACAGTGTTTTTACACTTTTCTTTGGATTCCCGTTGCTACTAGCACTATATTTTTTGTGTGCATATGGTGCATCTAATTCTAGTATACTTTCTGATAACTGTGTTATATCATATGCAGTATTTTTGCTTGTCATGGAAAAACTGTCCACACTTCTTGCTATGAATGGTTCATCATGTCTGACAGGATTTTCTTTGTTTAACAATGGAGTCAATTTTGAGTCTGTCAAGGATCGATAGTTCTTTGCCTCCAAAGCTAAATCCCAGTGCTTCAGTGTTAAAATCACAAATAAACAGAAGACAAATATATCTTTGTCAAATATCAAGCTTCCGGAAAGTGAAATAAAGTTGTTTATAATTAGTTTAGTACGCTGGCTTGGAGTAGAAAAATAGAAATTTTATTGATGACCTTTATTTCATTACCAATTACTTTACAGCTGAATAAAGAATATATATGAAACATTTCCAGAAGTTTTTAAACGTAAGAGCAACGCATGTTTTTATAAACTTTGTCTCTTGCAAGGCCAGTAGAGCCTTAAAATTAAAAGCTTACTTTTTAGGTTAGAGAAATGGATATGATGCGATTATTGAATTTCTGCCGAAAAAGTTAATCGCCTAGATGTTTTTGTTTGTTTTGTCTAAAACGTTATTCTGAACTATTAGCCATGAAGAATCAATAAGTTGCATGACACTAAGGACTTAGGACCTTACGCTTTATCAATAAAAGAAGTTACTTAGAAACGAAGTATCGTACATAAGTCAATTTATTTGTCAGAGTAAAATTCGCAACCAGTACAGACCACCCCATGAGAATAGAAATCAAATATTTCAAGGTATCTGACAACTGGAATTATTTTAAGTTTTCATTATTGCTTGTCTAAAAAGCTATCATTCTGTCCATATATTATTCCAGAGGTGTAACTAATTTAACTGTTATAGTATCGGTGTTGTGAGTTTCCAACTAAAATATTAGTTATTTAAATATTTTCTAAAAGCGCATAATTAACTACGTATATTTTATCAATCCACAAGATTATTTTATCATTCATGATAAAGCTGTAATCCTCATTTTGAGCTTTAAAACGTTTTAAGCATCTACCGCCACTTTATTCTAACTTTCTATTTACAATCATAAACTAATTAATAAAAGCGATTGTGGGAAACAGTTTCACGCTTGTTATCCTTCATCGAAACATTATTTTAAATGTTTACGTTTCGTTTCATTCAATCTCATTACGATGTTCAGATCTACCTTTAAATCAACTAAACCTTAATACGAAGAGTAAAATAATTAAAAATAATCAGCATTTATGGATGATAACAGAAGGTGCAATAAAACAATATAACCTTGTTATTTACCTGAAGTTTATGAGGCTAATAAACACTCAGCTTCGTCCTCAATCAGTCTGTTCGGATAACGTATTCGATAGGTTAAATTTTCATTTCTGAACACAATTACACTTTTTTTCAAAATTACCACTTCCCAAAATCAAATGTAATATTTTAATAACAATACTGACATAAACTTCCAATATAAAGGTTTACTTATGACGATAGCCGAATGAATATCATAAACCTGACAACAATATACTAAAAAATAACTAATTCTTATTTTAAAACTATACTTATCAAAATAAAATCTTTGCATGAAAAAAATCTAGATACCATTAAATAAAAATTTTATCATTACTTTTACGTCTAAACCTTTTTGCATGACTAGAATGCAGATAACGTGTTTTGATTCAATTTCTGTTTCATTATTTATTTGATCTGACATGTAGTCGTTCATTCTATATTGAAATTGATTGTTTAATAAGAAAACAGTAATACAGTCTTTAACTAATAAACTTTGTTTGTAATATGGTTGTATTGTGTTCAATCGATTTGTCAATGACTCGTATAATATTCTTCCAGAAAACAGATCAGCCAGTGTAAAATATTTAATAGGTGATATTTTAAAATTTGTGGTGCACAGATGAAGTATACCGTAACGAGGCCCCTAAAATAAAATTATTGTCGCAATAAGTAACAAGTACATCAAAGATATTCTGCTAATTTTCAGTTCACATTTAAACAAGGTATACAAAATATGATAATTTCTATTTCATAGGTATTAATTAATCAAATTAAACAAATGTATACGAAGTGAGTCGATAAAGTATGACAGAACAAATCAATAATATGTATGTATTATCCCAAGATACTTGAATTCCATTCACATATGAATGACGATCTTTTATCAACATGAATAGTTACGAAGCAAACATGATATATAATAAGAATTTTTCTCCAATAATACATTGGATATTTTATTCAATAGGGAGTAAATTGTACACATATTGAGGATTGATATTTTTCTTGGCATAATTACTTGTGATTAAACAATGTGTATCAGCCTCCTTACCGTTGTTGCTACCTCGACGTGATGGTTGGGCTTGCCTATCGTGATGAAGCAACTGAGCTATACTGGCTGGAACAACCGTTCCTCAAGGTCCTACCATGCCAGACAGGTCGGTTGAAGAGCGGTAAGACTAAAAGCAACAAAACCAAGGTCCGAAGGCGAAGTCGTACTGCTGACTGTACAGAACTGTGACGGCAGTAAGGTGTTTCCTTCAGACAACCAGCATGACAGCGATGCTGCCTTCCCACAAGGAGGGGTGGAGTTAGAAAAGTTCGACCCCAGAAATGCACACCTCACCTTATCCCAGGGATAACCGTCTCCGACGGTAAGGTCTTAACAAGTACGGAGCTAACACAAAAATTACTCATAAAAAGGTCGTGTGTGACCGACCTCAAGCAGCTGTCCCTTGGGCATTGTGGTCACTCTCTCAGGTCACTATGACCACCTCTAACCCAATTTCCTTTTCAGGTACCTCCAGAAGAACCCTTCCACGGTGTGGGCAACCGGGAAGTGATAACCGCCCTCATACCTCTAACAGCACTCAAGACCACTTTATTCATAATCAACCTACCTCTTCAATTCCTCTTATTCCTCCTACATCGACTTTCAAACCTAAACTTCCTCCCTTGGTTTCCTCCTCAAGTATCACCATAGCCAACGACTCTAGTACTCAAAACGCTGTCCCAGGTCTACTGAAACCTCGCTTCAAACTACACATTGGAGCCTTCAACGTACGCACACTATGTCAAATCGGTCAGCATGCATCCTTGGCTAAAACCATAGAATCTCGTACCATTGATGTATGCTGTATCTCCGAAACACGCATACAGGATCCTAGTGTGGTCATTCACTTGACCTCACCTCGGCAAAACGGAGAGCCAACGAGATACACCCTCCGTGTATCTGGCGACCCGATGGCTAGTTCTCGTGGACTGGCAGGTGTAGGCATAGCACTAAGCAATGAGGGAGGAACAATCGCTATTAGAGTGGATCCTCGTTAACAGTCGTCTATGCGCTGCTCGGCTAAACGGCTCCGTAAGGACCCGGAAAGATAGGGACACACGTCGTTGCCTTTTCGTCGTCTCTGCCTTCGCTCCTACTGACTGCAGCTCGGATGAAGTGAAAGATGAATTCTAGAGAAAACTCTCTGAACTTTTTCAGAAAGCTAAACGTTCAGACATAGTACTCGTAGCAGGTGACTTTATTGCCCAGGTAGGTAGCTTAAACTAAACAGAAAGACATTTAGGTTGATATTTTAGTATTCCGGCGCAGCGAACAGATAATGGTGATCGTCTGCTGCAACTGTGCTCAGACAATCGTTTATTTTTAACAAACACAAATTTTAAGCATAAGGAGAGACACCGTCTGACATGGCGACCCCCTGCACCAAATCAACGATGGACTCAAATAGACCATATTGCCATCAGTCATCGTTGGAGAGGGTCAATAGAAGATTGTCGCTCATTCTGGAGTACCTGCTTGGACTCCGACCACGCACTAATACGAGCACGTATCTGCTTGCGCCTCACTGGACGCAAAAAAGCCACATTAAAAAGACCCATTAGAGCTGAACTGAGTAACGAGAAAACCAAGAGTAGGTTCCAAGAACAACTGAGGTCACACTTAGGTAGTTCTGAAAACGAGGCTGACCCAGATGTTGCTTGGAAAGACATACAATCTGCTGTGGAAACAGCAGTGACATCAATTAGTAATTTAAACCACAGGGTCACAAAGAACCAATGGATTTCTTCAAGGTCTATTGCACTGATGGATTCTCGCAAACTCATCCCATCAGGTTCTGAACACGATGAAGAGCGTAAGCAAATCAGATCTAGGTTAAGCAAAAGTCTAAGGAACGATCGTGAGCAGTGGTGGGCAACGAAAGCAAAAGAGATGGAAAAGGTGGTGGCTATAGGGAACACAAGACAAATCTACAGACTAATAAAAGAAACTGGAATAAAAAGTCAAATGTAAGTCAGACTATTTCGGAAAAAACGGCACTCTCATCTGCTCCCAGTTCAGACGTTTAGAACGATGGGCGGAACATTTTAGAGAACAGTTCAGCTGACCTTCAGCTACTCTACAACTACCCACCACTTCCAGACAGCCTGAATGGAACATTGAAGTAGGTCCACCAACTCTAGCTGAAGTTCAAAAGGCTATAGTTAATCTAAAACGAGGAAGAGCAGCTGGTCCAGATGGATTAGCTCCAGAGGTCTTTAAGTATGGTGGTCCAATTTTAGCGACTAGGTTGACTAATATTTTAGTTAAAATCTGGGAGTTGGACATAATCCCCTGTGACTGGTCACAATCACTTATCGTCCCAATATTTAAGAAAGGGTCAAAATCATCCTGTGACAACCTCAGAGGGATTAGTTTAACTAATATAGTATCTAAAATACTAGCCTCGATAATTATCGGACGCCTAACTAAGACTCGTGAACTGCAAACACGAGAGAATCAAGCTGGCTTCAGACCTGGTCATGGATGCATCGACCACATATTCACCGTTCGTCAGGTTCTAGAACATAGGCATACTTATCGGCGTCCGACAATGGTGGTCTTCCTCGACTTAATAGCAGCGTTTGGCTCTGTTGACTGAGAGGTTCTGTGGCAGTGTCTGTCATTGAAAGGCGTACCTCAGAAGTACATAAACCTTGTGAAGGCTCTTTACTCGAACACTACTAGTCGAGTCAGAGCTTATGGCGAACTGTCATCTGCTTTTGCAACCTCAAGTGGTGTCCGTCAAGGCTGTCTACTTTCTCCATTTTTGTTGAACTTTATCATAGATCTACTGATGGAAATAACGCTCTCATCGACTGAATTCTCAGGTATTGATCTCCTACCGGGAGGTCCACTTATCCACTTAGAATACGCAGATGACATGTTCCTGTTTGGTGAAGACGCTGATAAAATGCAGAGTCTTTTGGTAGCACTGAGCAACAATGCCCGATTGTTTGGGATGCGCTTCTCTCCCTCTAAATGCAAGTTGTTGCTTCAGGACTGGACTGCGTCAACACCTGAACTAAGGATAAGGAGTGAAGTAGTCGAACGCGTTGACAACTTCACTTATCTTGGAAGTCTGATCAGCCCTAATGGGTTGGTGTCTGACGAAATCTCAGCACGGATTCGAAGAGCTCGTTTGGCTTTTACCAACTTACGTCACCTATGGCGTAGGCGAGATATCCGTCTGTCAATTAAGGGACGAGTATACTGCGCGGCAGTTTGTTCCGTTCTACTATACGGCTGAGAAACATGGCCATTAAGAGTAGAAGATACTCGTAAGTTACTAGTATTTGACCACATATGCCTTAGAAATATTGCTGGGATCTGCTGGGATCACCGGGTAAGTAATAGTGAGGTTAGATACAGGGTACTAGGGAATGATGGTAAATCAGTTGATGAGGTTATGAATCTTCATCGACTGAGATGGTTGGGCCACGTGTTGCGTATGCCTGAACACCGATTACCACGACGCGCAATACTCACTGGTGTTAGGGATAATTGGAAGAAAGTTAGGGGCGGCCAAACCAAAACGTGGCATCAGTGCTTGAAGTCACTAACTTCTGGGCTGAGCCATATTGGAAGATTCAGACTGCCTGGTTGGGGTCCGCGTGACTATCGTAACCAATGGTTGGAGACTCTTGGTGACATGGCTCAGAATCGATCACAATGGCGTCGGTGTATACACTCTCTGTCTTCCTTTAAATTAAGAGATTAAAATCGCTTCATATCTTTCTTTCTACGAACTAATTCTATCTTCTTGTACAATCTCTTTATATGCAATCTTCCTTCTATATATTACCACCACTGAATTAACTACTTCTATGAATCCGGTGTTCATCTTGTTGTGCTAATGAGGTATGGCAACTTGGACCGATGCATATATGTGCCTGGTCCTACGTTGCAACTTTCTAACTGACTCAGCCTAGAAAACATCTCTCGATTTAGTGCTTGTTTGTTCATTATTGATCATTTAAAAGATGAAAATTTATGATCAACTTAAAATCTTCAAACATCAAGGCTTGGCAATGTAATATAATTTTTTTAAAGTTTAACAGTTTATGATGCTCCTTTTAAAGGCCAGATTTCGCACAAATACATAAAATCCCGATATAGCGCAAGACTGAATTAAATGAATTTTCAGTGATTAGACCGTGTTTAGCGAGGATTCAGAACCGAAACGTTTAATCTACACAAGGATTTGAGAATTGAATTCTGGTGCAAAAATGTAATCTTTTCCTTCTAAAAAAACTAGCCAAACATTTGTAATCGTGTTCTATTACAATGCATTATATCTAAGGTGACAGAAGGCCATAATACAGAATAGAATCGTAATTTTAATGGTTATGATGTATCTAACACAAATTTAAAGAGAGTCATCCGCTTTTCCACCACAGTAAACAAGATTGGTAGAAGTAAATAAATACGATGACTATTCAGAGTTTTCTAGACTTTGTAATTTCAGAGAGAGCATTACATGAGAAAACTAGATATGCTTATTATTACCAGCTTCGTATAAAAGGTTTTGTGGACTTCTATGCAGAATTCTCACTTATTTTGTGATCGCAAGATCGTTTTTACTATTATAAACTTGGTTGCTTAGTCTTGCTTTTCTAGGGCTAGAATGGGAGAACATAAGCATGTTATTATGTAGGATAAATGAACCGTTTTACGTAAATTTTACTGGAATATATGTATTCATAAACCATGTTTGATACAGTTTTATAGAGTTTCATTTAAGAACTTACATTTTGCTTAGCGTCAATAGTATAAACATTTATCTTACTATAAATGTGTGAAAGAATTCATGTACACACCTACCTGATTTACAATAATTGGTATTTGTGAAAAAATTCGTGTATTATTATTGTTTGAGAAAACATTTGGTTGCACGACTACACTCTTGCCGGTTTCAACAGTTAATTCGTCACTAGTAAATTTAACATTATTTGCTTCATTATTATTCGCATCATTCCATAATTTAAGTCCATTCAATAAAATAGATAACCTGACTTCTTGCTGTAATATATGGCCAGAGAATGTAGTACTGACAAATAGATATACTTCGTCCGATCGTAATGTAACGGAATCATCTTTCTTATCGTTTTTATTACTTGAATACAGTAATTTACAGTAAAGACTGTGTGCAGCATTCTTGAATGATGTTATATTTTGATATTTAGACTGGCTCCATGATCTGATGTATTTATAATAAAGTGGAAACTGTAATAAATCATTATATGTCCAGTTTGTTGACTGATCAGTTAGACCAAATAACACCAAGTCTCCAAAGCATCCAGAGCGAATTACATTAATTTGAATATGGTTTGGATCAAGATGAACATTCGTAATTACCTTTATGAAAAAGTAAATTACTTGGAAATTTACTTCCTAACGTATGATTCTCAATATTGCTGAAAAAATAACTATGGTTAATTATACAAATCCACCAACGTACAATCATTTTAAACACCTGACCATGATACTTAAACTATATAAAAGAGGAATAAAATTTGAAATAAAAAAATTCTAATGAATCCAAAGACATTATTACTACTATCGGCAAGAAAAGAGATGATTTAATGACAAGTTACGATTTTTGCTCTTTGTTCACAAATGTTCCTGTTAGGAAGGCTCTAGAAATTGTATAAAATCTCTTAGGTTCTGACATTGAAGTAAAACAACGATGCTCATTAGGTCCTTCATACATTACAAAAGCTCTGGATCTAGGCTTCCATTCCACCTTTTCCGATTTTCAAGGGGACTCACCAGTTTCTCCGACTATTGCTAACTTATTTATGAATTTAAATGGAAACAAGTGCAATTTTAAAATGTTCCTACCCAACAAATATCTGGTTGAGGTACGCAGACGACACATTTTTCATCACCAAACGAGGTGGATCAAATGGGTTTTTTAAAAATTGTCAACAGTATGTCTGAAAGAATTATATTCATCGAAGAGATGGAATCCGCCGACCATGAATTACCTTTTCTGTGCTGTTTGGTTGAAAGTGATTGTTCACAAATTAATATATTTTGAAAGCCAACATATTCTGGTAAATATTTAGATTACAAGTTAACACATCCCCAACCTACCAAAGTGACAGTGGCTCAGAATTTAATAAACAGAGTTCATAACCGTTATTGAACCAAAAACAAAGAAACTGAAGTGAATTTAGTTATGTTCACTCTGATGACGTGTAATTACGCCAGGAATTCTACAAATAGAATAATTAAGAAAGATCAAAATGATAAGAAAAGGGACAAACTAAAGGAATGTGTTAACACGGTATTAATCCCATACTTTACTTTCAAGAAATTCTAGGAAACATCAGAAGGATCCTAAATCTTTAAACTTTAAAAGTGTTCATTCGAACAAAAAATGCTCTAAGCTCTAAACTGGTAAGAATCAAAGGTTCAGTCTGAAAGGAAGAACAACAAAATTGTATATACGAGATCAATCGTAGTGATTATAATGTAATATGTGCAGGTATGATATCAAAATAACTGAATATGAGGGTGAAAGAACACAAATCTTGTTTGAAACACATTTATAAATCCTCAGATTAGCTGAAAAAAAAACTAGGAAGCAAGTCAGCGTTAGCATTACTCGATAGAGTCGGGTCATACAATTGATTTAAATGGCATAAGAAACATTTAAAAAGATTTTAGTTCATACAAAATACACTAACAACTGAAGCCCTACACATATATTCAAATTCAGACGGTATTAATAAGTAAACCTGAACACCTTATTTCATTTAATCTATTACTTATTATCTAAACAACGATTATTTTCAACTGTTCGGATCAGTTGGTTTATCTGAATTTATGATGAACAATTAACTTGATCAACACAATAACACAAACATTTACCATATTTTTGTTTATTTATCCTTATTTTATACTTACTGTGACATATTTGACTCATATCATCTATAAAATTATCTTTTTTCAGAGGTGATATCTAGTCGATTAATAAATATGGTAATTTATTGATAATTGCCTAAAAAGTTAGCGAAAGTCGATCGTATGCAAAGTGAAACCTTGCACATATGCGCTTCGGTTAAAGTTACCGCACTACATTAACACACAGTAAAATCAAGGAAAGCATCAGTAATAGTAGGGAAGATTAGACATAGAAGACACGATTCTAGAATGAAGAATATGTTCTTCGGAAAAAAATCTATAAGATAACATCGAAACTTAAGGTCCGGAGTAAAACAAACTGTGAATACATGCGCAACGTTGCTAGCAATCCACAGTAATGTCATCCAAAATCTCCACACACTATTTACAATGATCACGTAGAGCCATAGAAGTAGTCTGTACCCCCTATATGAATTACGAAAGTTTTTAAACGATATTACGAACTGGTGAATAATTTGCAACGTTCATGTAAACCACATTTCAAAAAACATGCAATTCAAAAGTTGTAAAAGTATTTGGCAATTCAATCCAACAAGAAATAATGTATCAGAGCCACATTAACGAAACTTTCAAATTCTATTACTTAACTTTTATTGAAGCAGTTATTCTGATTTACTGACTTATTAGATGTAGTACTTCATTTAAACAAAATCATGTCCAAACATTTTTTCGGAATATATACATATATAAACTTATTAGTTGTTTTATGTATTGATAAAGCTATAAAATTTAACAATATTTTAGATGAAATGCCTTAGAATCAAAGTACTACGTTAAAGATGATTTTTTTTGACACTTAAAAATAGTATCGGTGACAAACTTCAGCTTACATAATATATTCCTTAAAAGACAATATAAACAAATGGTTATTCAGTATTTAATTATGATGCATATATAATCTTTTAATATTTTTTGCACGTTAAAAAGTAAAGGACTAGGAAATTACTTCGTAAGATGCATGATATACCTCCAACGTAACGTTTATTATTTGTACACAATTTCACTTTGTAGTGTTATTTTTCCAGACTGGTCGTCAAAATATTATACCTCGCACAATTTTTTCCAATATATATCGTATTTAATCATTCAGTAATTTTTATTCTTCGGATAAAATATCGAATATATGAATAAAATCTTCGAATTATTTTTAGTCTCTTTCACTCAATTTTAACGACCCCAATAGTTTCATTTGTAGTATATGTCTCCACCCTCCCGATTTTACATTACATTGGAATCTGTCAATTACAAATCTCACAAAGATTGACTAAATGATAAATTTGGGTTCACAATATAAAATGTGATGTATGTGTTCATGAATATGAGGAATGATATGACGAGATGATTTTCCCATGTCATGCACGATACAATTTAATGTGATACAATATGTACAGAATTTAACTCCAGTTTAAAAAATCGAAAACTTGTAACTTAGCTATCACAAACTGTAATCAAAGGTCTATGAACATGTTGAAAAGTTGTATTTCAGATATGTTCTGCATTCTCAAAACCTTTTTCAAAAAACGCATATATAGGTAAAACAGAATAGAAGCTATTTGAAAAATTTTTTGCAAGAAAATGCTTGAAATGTAATGAAATTTATTCTCTGTAAATTTCATTACAACAATGTACTATGTTTGATTTTCAATGATTTTATAATGAATGAAAATATTGCAAGTTATAAGCGGTTTATTGTTTTTATGATTAGTCTTACTAACTTATCAAAAAGTGACACTAAATGAAATTATGTCAAAAACACGCAAATTTATAAGCAATATATATAGTGAAATCACAATTTTTTCTTTGCATGTTTTCCAAAAGAAACATAAATTGTTTCCATTTTTCGGATGTTTATGCACAAGAACATTATTTCTTTTGATCAATTATCCTTAGAACGTCAAACCGACCTAAAATGTATGTTTCCAGGAAAGAAAAGATTTATGTTTGGGCTGTGTGTGCACAAATATACTACTGCATATTGTAGTGAACTCAAGCTTCAAAAGTCACGGTACGTGCGCAGTTACGGGTATTACCAGTTGCAAATAGCTAAAGGTTTTTGCGTTAAAAAAACTAACAATTAAATTTTTGCTGTATATATCAGTTGTCATGTAATTCAAAAGCTAACAGACATTAAACCTAAATTTAACATTCGAGTATATCAACTCTCCTATGTATCAGCGCAAATATACTCAACAGATAAGTGAAAGACAAGCTTCTTTCATAGTTAACTGTAATGATGGCAAAATGGAGTAATGTACTTTAAATAATTTCATATCTAATTAATAGATAAAGAACTATTTTTTGCTATAAAATCATCTATATCCATCTACGAACCGAATTGATTAATGATCGCGGATAGATTAAAATCTAAAGTAAGATGGAAATTATTAGAACAAATCAAGTCAAAAGAAGGCTAAAATACATTATTTTATTAGTGAAGAAAAACGCTCAAACAACTATATATGATCATATGACAGATTTTGGATGTCTAATTAACTTGAGAAGTCTCCAAATTTGCCATAAAACAGCAGCTAACTACAGACTAGATGTATAAATATCATTACTTAAACATTGAGAAAAAACACATTTCATAAGCTAGGTATGATACCATCTAAAACTTATTTCTGAGAGTTTCAAAACCTACATATAAAAAAACGATGATAAACCACAACTATAACATTTAAATATTCAATTAATTTTAGGCAGAGGTGTAGTAAAATCTTTTCCGGAAGTAAAGTAATATGAGAATGACAGATTACTAACAGCCCAATTGTCTAAAACGAGAATAGGCATTTAATAATCCATCCACAAAACTTAAATGCAAAAGCGAAAAATGTAACCTGCTTTAGAATATTATTTATCATGTTTAACTTTTGTCTGAAACTGATGTTATCATTTCCTGTCATCCATTCTTAAGCCTGTTACTTTTTTCTCTCTGCAACGGTATGAAATTCGGTAACCCGTACCAAAACACTTCTGAGCTAGATCTTGTATTTCTTGAAGATGACTGGCACAAATAATTTATTCTAAACATGGTGTTGTACCAAGATAAAGCATGGACCCTTAGTTTTGTTTCGAATTTCATACGCCAGCATGTAAAGAATTAAAATAAATTCGGTAGTCTGACAAAAGGAATTCGAAATTTGACTGTTCTGAGATTAGTTTGTTGATCAGTGATAATAAAACTTGATGTTTGCTGATGCTTTCGTCATATTCATTGCTTACCCGAACAAACCAATCACTTTCACGGATGGTTATGAAGTAACCAACTCAGATTTCGCAATTTTCTGAATGCATGTTACTTCGGGCTCAAGAGGGTGATAAAAAAGACAACTAAAATTTTTAGAATTCTCAACGTTTCAACAGGTTTTACATAAACATAATAACAACTGATACGTCGTTCTTATTATTCAAATAAAGTTTTCATGAACAAACTAATTAAATATTCTATCGATCTAAACCACTGAGAAGTTCTTCAGTAAACTGAAAGAACAGCAAAGTATAAAATCCTTTCTTACATTAGTGTTTCACGCCTCATTTTTATCCAACGCGAATTTATTGATATTGTTTCGCCAATCTTTACATTAGTTACACAAAAAATTAATTAACATCTGTTCTATGAAGAATTCATATGTATTTTGTAACGAGACTTTTATCCATTTATGGTATAATACAGTTGATCGGTCTTAGAACATTTTTGAAAGTACAAAAACCCGCCCAAAACATTTTTGAATATTTGTTCAATTTGTCTGTAAGATCGGGTTTTTTTTGTTACTACACTACTTCAAAACAATCAAGTGACCTATTCATGTAATGTATGAAGATGAATGTTGTTTGTAGTCAATTAGCGTTAAATTATGATAGTGCATCAAATTAATTATTTTCAATTTTCTCTCTGTTAAGCCTAGTAAATGTGAATGTATCAAGAACGTAGGTTCTATCAGCAATCTTAGTATACTGACTAGAAACAACTAGTACATAAATCAAACTGGAGTATTTCTGAACTCCAACCTCGTGACTATCTAGTCAAGATAATTGGATCAGCACAAAAATAAAATAGTCTACATATGACTTTACGTTCTTAATAATTTTGCCAGACTAATTCTGAGCGGTTAATCTACCTGCAGAATGTAGGCTCATGAGATCATTACATATACGCAGTTCCCTTTATCGCCTTGAAGAGAGAAAGAGCAAAGATTATAGCAGAATAAAATGAATCAACATAGCATTGAATCAAAAAAATTACTCATCTAAGACGCATCACCAAATCGCACAATTATTCAACAAAACTACTCATTACACGACTAAGGACTGAGGCCAGTGATTTTGATAAAGCCGTTAATGATTTAAACATCGTATGTCGAATAGAATTCATGGACTTTATTTGTAATCTTCAAAACAATGTTTGCAAGGATTTCCATAAATCTCTATCGAAAACCCTGATAAGAGAACAACTATATTTAGGGTTCCCAGAAAACTCTTCAAAGTTTATCTGTAATTATCAAACATGAAGCTTAATAATATAGAAACAAAAGCCTTATCACTGGGACTCAAATTTCATATACCAAAAACAAATACTGACAGGATTGATACAGAAGTTCAATTCGAAAATCTGTTTGACCAGTTAAAAGATTTGAAGTCAATAAATGAGGAAAAGAAAGGATGGTTCATATCAAAGTTAGTTGATATTGCCAACCAATACTTTGTGTTATCGACACCAAAGTCGAATATTCTATCCAAAGAACATCTGACAACCCTAGGAAACATCAAACAAAATAATGTTATGATTTTAAGACTTGACATAGGTTCACTTGTCGTCCTAATGAATACAGCTGATTGTCACTAGGATGAAGTCAATCCTAGACGATCAACTGAGATTCAAGGTAGATAAATCCAAAAAACGATTTGACTGATTCAACAGAAAAAGGAATCACAGGCATGCCTAGGAAACTTCTAAAAAAGAAAGTGACTGCTAATTCTACTTACAACGATTTAAGACCACGTGGCTCACGTCTACTTCTTATGCATGGTTTACAAAAAGTTCACAAAAATGACCTTCCACTCAGACTTATCCTATCAATGATCAACTCACCGTATCATAAAGTTGCACGCTCGTTATCAGAAAAACGAGAACCGGTTCGTAGGAGTTTAGCAACATATACGTTAAGAGATACATTCCAGTTTACTGATAGACTAAATCATACGAATGTTGCCGATAAGTTCATGGTTTCTTTTGATTTAACATCCTTGTTCACCAATATACCACTTTTGAAACGTGAAATAATTTGTCAGAATTATGATCTATCTTTACCAGCCCCAGATTTCAAAAAACTACTACTAATGTGCACAACAGATGTCCAATTCCAGTTTAATAATACCATATAACGCCAAATTGATGGCGTAGCAATAGAAAGTTCAAAAGGTCCAATTATGGCAGATATTTTTATGGCGTATCTTGAAAACACAGTGCTTGCACAGGCGATTAATGAGACAATGGAATACTCCAGATAAGTTGATGGTATTTTTATCGTCTTTGACAATAAACAGCATGCAATCCACCTGCTAAAACTCAACAATGCTAATCCTAACATATAATTCACTATGGAACACAAATAGAATGATATGTTCCACTTTCTCGATGTTGCCATAACAATGTAGGGGAGACGGGACAGTCCAACGTTCGGTTTATCAAAAAAGTACTTGGAATGGCCTTTACCTAAATTTCAAGCTTTTGTCCAATCAGTTACAAGAAGACATTAGTTGAAACACTATTATAGGGTAGAAAGGATATGAACCACGGATAAGCCGGAAGAAGAATTTATGAACGTGGAAAAATGCCCAAGTGACAACTTTTACACACAAAAGTCTATTGACAAATATAAATAGCCCAAAGGGAAAAAGACGGAAATAATTACGGTCAATAAAAAACAAATATCTATAAATCTTAACTTCAAAGGTGATGATGTCGTACACATAGTCAACAGGAGACTAAACACTAGGCCAGCCAGAACTTATCCGGCAGCTAACATTTTAATTCTGTATAAAACAACATAATCAATAACTCAATCAATGGTCGACAAGCACCCCTTACGTGTTACCGCCAACTGTATTTATAAATTCACGTGTACCTGTCAAAGGAGCTACATTAGCTGAACAGAAAGGAGGGCATATCTTAGATTTTTTGAACATGTTCCAAAAAGCCTTAAAACAAGAGAAAGAATAGCTTTAAACAGTGCAATCATCAGACATCTTGACATAGGACACCAGGTCGATACCTTTTAATCTTCCGTAGTGATTATTAAGCAGCCACCCTTCAGTCCTCTGAAGTCTGCTGAAGTCATTGCCATCAGACGTTAAAAAACTGACTTATGTGTCCAAAAGGAGATGGTTATCAATCTTTCCTTGCTTCAGTAACACATATTCTTTCGTAACATTTTAAAGAAGTTCTTTTATAACTCTTCCTTTCACTCAACTACGTCACTATGTCTTTCTACTTCGACTGTCAGATTTGTAATCTTATTTTATTAACTGGGCTTACTCATTTAATTCTTATCAGCGTTTACTCATTGTGTAATCACTTGTTTCTGGCTCTTTGAACCCTTGTTACAATCAATGTTGTAGAATGTTATTTTACATAAGGCATTTATTTACAATATTTTATTCAGTCTATTAATTTTATTTACACCCTTGCTATACTATACTGATGTATCTTCAAAATAACTTCCAACCATACTGTTTCGTGTAAGTAATTTAAATTTCTTTCGTAGTTATGATTTTAAATACCACAGGTTGCAAGGAGCTGACTAGAACCAAACAAAATAAGATGAATTCATGCTATTCTGAAAAAATCAAGAACAGAGATTCTAGCAGAATAACATGGATTCATTTTATTTCGTAGGTTCTCGTCAGCTGCTTACAAACTGTGATATTTGAAATCTTAATTACTTAATGGGTTTAAATTACTTACATGAAAGGGTTTGGTTGGAAGTTATATTGAAGACACATTAATATAGTATAACAAGGGTGTAGATAGATTTAATAGACTGAATATTGTAAATATATACCTTATGTGAAAGAACATTCTACAACATTGATTGTAACAACAGTTCAAACGGCCAGAAACAAGTGATTACATAATGGGTAAACACTGATAGGAATATAGTGAGTAGAGCTCAGTTGATAAAATAAGATTACTAATTTGGAAAATAGTTGAAATAAAACTCAATAATGTAATAAATGCAGGAAAGAGTTCAAAAAAAAAAATTTAGGATTCAGCGAAGGAATATTTGTCACGGAGGCAAGGAAAGATTAATAACCATCTCCTTTTGGACACATAAGTCAGTTTTTTAACGTCTGATGGCAATGACTTCAGCAGACTTCAGAGGACTGAAGGGTGGCTGCTTAATAATCACTACGGAAGATTAAAAGGTATCGACCTGGTGTCCTATGTCAAGATGTCTGATGATTGCACTGTTTAAAGCTATTCTTTCTCTTGTTTTAAGGCTTTTTGGAACATGTTCAAAAAATCTAAGATATGCCCTCCTTTCTGTTCAGCTAATGTAGCTCCTTTGACAGGTACACGTGAATTTATAAATACAGTTGGCGGTAACACGTAAGGGGTGCTTGTCGACCATTGATTGAGTTATTGATTATGTTGTTTTATACAGATTTAATGGTTCAGCTACCCGGTAAGTTCTGACTAATACAGTGCCGAGCCTTCTGCTGATTGCGCTTGCAACGTCATCACCTTCGAAGTTGAGATTTATAGATAATGTTATTTTACTGAATGTAGTCACTTTCGTCTTCTTTCCTCTAGGTTTTTTAAATTGGTCAACAAATTTATGTGCATAGTAGTTGTCAGTGGTCCATGGTACATAAAATAAAAAAAAATAACTTCATTTAGAGCCAGATACTCAATAGTGCATTTTCACGATATTCACCTTTATAGAATATAATAAAATAATAGTTTACATTAACCGCCTACCTCGATAGGAATGAAAACTCTCCCGTTTGATCTTAATGTTACACGACTTGGCTGCAATACAAGAAAAGTAGGTTTGGTTGCATTGATTGTTAGTTGCTTAGTAACAGTAAACTTTCCATCCATTACTTTAAGATTCATTTGGCCGGTAGGAAGTCCCATATGTTTAAAGTTAATAAGACCATTAGTTAATTCAGAATATTTGAAACGACGACTGACAGTCATATCAAGATTTTGAATGAAATATCCCAAACTTGGATATATAATATCTTTTCTGTGGAAGTTTTTGTTTTCTTCCCAATGAATCCAAAAATCACCCCTTTTATAAATCAATTCATCATTATTATTATTATCATCATCGTTAATATTATCAAAATAATCGTTCTGCAAATTCTTATCTTTATCTATTATTTTAAATGATTTACTTAGTGTGTTATTTGTTTTGTTAAATTCAACAAATAGAGGAGTTATATGCAGATTCGGAGGATTATCATTCACTGGAATAATACGAATCCGAAAAATAGAAGTAACTGGTTGACCAAATAGTTCATCTACTGAAGTATGTGTTAATCCTGTTAAATGTACGGTTAAATCGTCATTATCATCATCATATGAATTGCTAATAGGTGTTTGACGACAAAAAAACTGAAATTGAAAACTATCCTTAAATTCTTCTTCATCATTATGACGATATAATAACAAATTATAATTAATTAATTTGTGGTTATATTCTGTCAAATTAATTAAATTGGTTAAAGTTGAATTATACGGTGATTTTATTAAAAGTGTACCATGTTCGGGTAATGAGAGAATTTGAAAATATAGATCATATTCTTGAAATAGCTCATTAGATGACTTTTGTACAGAATTGTTTTGACATTGTGAATGTTTAGCATAAAACAATTCAGGTGTTAGAATCAGATCTCCACCTTCCTCTACAATTCCACCTCTGTTTATAATTGTAGGACTAAATTTAATAGTAGAGATTGGAGTAGTGCTGGATATTTTCTTGATAACTATTCGAAAATTGTATATTGTCTTAGGTTGAGCTCCTTCTACATTAACACGATATTTGAATTCATCCATTAAACTAAAACGTCCAGAACTTACATCTGAAGTCCTCTCCGAACTATCATCTAGTACGCGGCGAAAGGTATAAAATAGATTTCCTGCTCTTAAATCTTCTTGTGTAAATTGTGAACTAACACCCAGGTAAATTTTATCATCCAACTCCTTATTTGTATTTGTCTGTTGACTGCTTCGATTAACTAGAAATAAGTGTCCATGCATCGGAATTTTTGTTACAGTAAACCATATTAGTGAATCCTTCTCCCATGGTTCCGCTCTGACTTCTAAATATCTTGAGTCCAGTCGAGCTGTACGGCCTTCCATGCCAATAAGATGTGGGTGTATTTTATCATTGACGGTACTTACATAAATTAAAAGAGGTCTGTTTACGGTGATACTTAAATGGATTCGGATAAAGTTCACTGGCAAAACTAACCTCATAATGTTAGATTTTTCCAAATTTCTAAAACAGGTTATATGTATGCGATCACTAAACGCCGTTTGAATATTTTCTGGTTGAGCTACAAGGCTAATATAACGAACCTTTTGTTCAATTACTTGTAATCCAGTAAATGTAGTTGTTTGTTTCCATGTAGCTTGATCATCATTTACTTTAATTTGTATAATTCCGTATTTAATTTGTACAACATTAAACTGGTAATGTAGAAATGTTACTTGGTTGAACTCGTTCATAATATTACTACTTAATGATGGTATTAAATTAGATGAATGTATAGATACTGCTCTAACAGGTACACTGTTTACTGCTGGAAGCGTAAATGTAGGTATCATATTTCTAGTTTTATTGAATAAAGAAATTTTGTCTGTGGTTTTAATTATCGAACGTGGTGAACGTAGTGAAAACTTCCTAAAAATATAATACAGATAAATGTTAACAGGTAGAATTATGAAATCTTTATTTTCGGAAATACTTTTTTCTCCCGAAGGAGAGTGAAACAATTATGTGCATCAGAGTGATAAGGTTGAGTAATGTTGATCACAACGTTATAGAGATAATAAATCGTAAATTGAAATTCGTCACATTCTTATTATTAATAAATGAGAATCTTAAGCAATGCACTCCCATAAATACTTCGAATACTAAAATAAGACACGATTAGAGTTAAAAACATTATTATTTGCTTTAACCCCCGGGAAAATGCGAGAATTACAAAGTAAAGTGTATGGCTAATACAAATGAACTTGCACATTTGAGAACATAGTTCATTAATATTCATCATAGAATGTGAATATCCAGAGATATGTTCAAAAATATGTGAATAATTACAAATAATTTAGATCGAAAAATGTCAACTTCCAAAACTAAAGTTATTGATTGAATATTTATTATGCTACCTATTTTCCCTAATAGATCCAACTCCTATATCATAAGAATTACAGAATAAAAATAGTGAATTTTTCCAAAGCTCTGGATTTATTATTTGACAAGTTTTGAAAATAGATTCTGGTATTAACTTTTAACTTTTTGATTAGATTATTGATTAAAAATTTACTGCTGTGATTATAAAGTCGATTTCATATTGATATAAATATAGGAAGCTACGAATTATTTCCCCTAACACCAATACCGTCTCGTTGTTTATAACAGAACATCTCTTTCTAAATCCGTTTTTCTTTTAAAAAAAGTACTTGAATAGTTCAGAGAGAATTGTACAATTCTAAACAAATGATTAGTTTCATAAATAAACAAAAGAATTAATTAGTCATAAATAACTTGAAAATGAGATAACTGAGGGTTCAATTCGCAAATGATCCAAAATGTCCATTCATTATTCTTTTTTTCCGAACCTTACATAGCTTTAATTACAAATGATATGCCATGGTCCAGCTGCATACTAGAGGAAATAAATCCTGCGAAATAACATGAACAACAATGATTAATACTTGGAAGCACTGGACGGTCGTTCCGTCCTAGCACAGAATTCCTCAAAAGTGCGCATCCACGATCCCGCATGCGAGAGTCGAACTCGGGACTTATGGTCTCGCACACGAATCCCTTACCTCTAGATCTCTGAGCCGGCATCCACCGGTGTTAATGTTGAACTTCAACCAATCCACGAGATTGTGCGGCTATCTTTCATTGTCTGAGGTAGACACCTGTCTCTATCTGAAACGGATTAGCTCCACTGGTCACGGCTTCTCACTAGAAATCCAAAACGGCCACTCAGTGCCTTCAGGTTTTCAATGGTAATCTAACATTCATTGGTTCATGATCTCAATCAAAACCTTAACGGTCTTCACAATTTCATACTGGTAATGCTTAATACTTTTGGATTTGGTCAGTCAGCTACCGGAAACCTTAAACCTGTGTAACAGAAAAATTAATCGTTACTATTCACACTAAACATTTAAAAAAAAACAAACTTACCGAAAAAGAAATAAATTTAAATACTGTTCAGTGTTTTTGTCAGATTTTATGGATGCTTTTAACATGTAGTTCCTGACACAATACAAACAAAAGTATCTGTTGTTTTCATAATTCATAAATTCAGGTTTTTCAACTTCTGAAGTTAGATGACGTTGTACATTTGAGTATATTGAAGAATTCATAAACATTTTAGATACATTGATATGCTGAAAAAGTATATTCAAGACGTAAAAGTCAATGAAACAGATTCATATGGCTTATATCATTATTCGTTTAATTTAGGCTTTAGTTTTTCTTGTGTAAAGTTACGCTCGTTTAATAAATACTGATAAACTTCTTGCTATGGTACTGTGTCGAGAACTGCTTAATATTCTAGCAGGATGTAATAGAGTTTTAATTTCTGGCAGTTCATAAATAAATTAAACGAAAATGTATCGTATTACGAAACTGTCCTAAATGTTCCAAATATATATTGAACAAAATAGTTAGAAGAAAGGGTCTCTTAAACAGAGTTTACTTACTTTATTAGTTACATTTTCAAAAGTATAAAAAAGTAAATTTTGAGTTTAACAGAAAGGACTAACCGATATTTTGCTAATATGCGGAAAACGTTGGATAAATTCATCCCTTCTATTATGATCATAAGCACCAAGCTATTAACATATAATATTTAAGAAAACCACTTACAATTTAGCGCATTTAGATGTTTTGTGTCATTATATAATTACATGTTAGAGCTTTTTTTGTCATAAAATCTCAAGGAAACACAATGACAAAATTCGATCACAAAATAACCATAATTTGTGAACCAGAATAAATGTATCCATTGTTATTAATACTAATATTTAGTCTATCAATTTTAGAAATAATGGAAGTGATATGAATCCAACAGCTTGTACAGAGCATTTGGAATCTCAATTTGTACAATTTTCAGAAATGTAGTCAAAGGTAAATAAACACTAGTTCGTACTTACAAGTTATACGGTTCACTAATTACGGTCGGATTTTGAAACGGCCTTTGTAAAACAAACAGAACTATGTAGATAACCACATTAAAGTGCTAGGTTTCAAGATCATGGGAAAAATGAAATTATTAGTTCTAAGTAATATCAATCATAAAAAACAATAACTGCAATATCAGAATAACCTATTTTTCCTCAAAGAAGATACAGCATAGGTAACTAATGCAACGTATTTTCGGCAAAAACTTTTAGATTCTACATTATAGAAGCTTAAACAGAGTAAAAATAACATAATTTATATAATGAAATGAATTCATTTGATTTCAAGTTCTGTCTCAGCTGAAAACAACCTAAAATTGTTGGGAGTATTATGATTAGAAACAGAGGCCTGATAGATTCGAGCTGGTGATTTTGAAACTGATATTCAAAAAGGAACTGAAAATGTTGAAAGAGAAATACGACGTAATATGTTATTAGATATGGTTAAGACCGACACTGAACAGTAAAAAATAGTCATACAGGACGTAGAAGCGATGGTCGAATTATTCGATAATTATGACAAAAATAAGGGATTACGTTGTCATAATAAAGGTAATAAAGAATCACCTACGTAATAAACGCAATTAAAATCAAACGATCATAATTTTCGAGCACACAACTGTTAAAAATGAATGAAACATTGTTCAAATATAACAGGAAGTAGCTAGACAGATTGATTTTTCAAATACACAATTTACAAAAATTTAAAAATCGATTTGATAAAACTAGTCCTTCACTTTCCTCATCAACTTTCTGATTGAGAAATACAAGCATAGTCGTTTGTTGAAAAGAAATTTAGAATAAATGTCTTCACATCTATCACAGAGTCAAAGCTGACTAAGTAGCATCCACACAAGTAAACTGATATTTAGCAACCTAATAAACTAAGTAGACCAAAGATATGAATATCAATATGGAACAGCTGTGACAAATATACTATTGCTACCCCAAACGTTGCTAGTTTATTTTAAATAAATGAAAGGTTACAGGTTTACTTATTACATAGTCATTCATTTTGAAATTGGTAAGTATCACTCCACTCACACATTTATAAACATATTCGTAGTCTAGTGAAATAAGTAGGAATAGGACAAACAAGAGACTCTAGCAAATATTAAGGACTCAAAAAACATCTATTAGCAAACCATTCTGATGATAGTAAATCTTCTAAAACTGAAAACATGAAAGTGGTATGGTGAATACAGCAACATGAATTTCAGGAGCCAGACATAAAATCGCCCACAAAAGATTTAAATTTCAATCGGTATATTGAATGAAAATGATGAAGGATCAAAAATTCGACTACTATAACAAAAGCTCTGAACAAGCTGTGACATTTAACATCAATATTTTCCCAAAACTATCGATTGTTAAGACTCCAACAACCAAACTTTACCTATATTTGGCGTAATGTTTTGAATAGTCTTTGAAAACCTTTGGGTTTTCGTGAATTTTGAAATTGGTAGGCGTATTTCAATATTTACACTCATTTACGAAAATTTTTTGAATTTTTTTTAGCTCATATCAGCCTAAACACTCGTTCTGCTCGTAAATATAACTTCTGCTCTTTTACAGAATATTAGGGTATTGATATCACTCATTAGAATCAGTTTTAGAGCCAGCATTTTTGCAGTCGTTGGACTGTAGTTTTACAAAGTTCTATATGCTTATGCATGTTGATAGCACACCATTTTTGTTAGCTTACTACGATCTTCCTGTTATGCAATTTTGGAACTTCAGAAGCTGAAGTTCTACCGTGCACAGCTAGCTATTTATATTGGACCGTTAGTTTTGCAAAAATTTACCAATTAATTAAACAAGCAAACAGTGCTTAACTTCAGTGGTCATTTATATTTACAATTTTATAAAGATTTTATCAAGGCAATGTTGTATTTTATAAAATAACTCCACAAACAAACCAGATATTTTTGTCTTCTGCACATATAGGAAAACTTTATACTCGTCTATTTTAAACCGTTTTTAACATTTTAGCTTGAGTGTGTTTCTGCCAGGGACAATTAAAGATTACATATTAGTAATACAATTGGCACATACAAAGTAAAAACTGGCTTCATGTAAAGTATTTATGCTTTACTTCATTTGTTGACATAGGGGAAAAATTATCATTTCTCAGTATGTCGTAGTTTTTACAAAGCATTCCCCAAGTTTAGAACATTAAATAACTCAATAACAAGCTATACGTTTTTGTGTAATTGTGACGGTATAAAACCCTCAAAAGAATAAATATAGTATATTACTTCTGTATATTTTTCTTACACATGTTTAACCACCCTTATTTTAAATGGCCGACAATAAATGAAGGTCTTTTATCAATAGAGTCATTCCATAAATATGCTTGATGTACAGGATGTTTGTTTGCATGAATCACATAGTGAACCAAACTTCAAGTAATGCTAAGCACAAATGTATCTAAACAGTTATAAACGGGGAGCGCAATAGAGTATCCTAGGATAAAAATTCATCAAAGTATCGGTCAAGATGATGTGAAACATAATGATTACAAATCTGTTATTGTATGACAAAAGTGGTTATATACCCTAAAAGGTATAGAAGTTATCAAACGATATCAACCCCTGATATTCTCGTGTTTACATAAGGCTTAACTTCATGAAACAAGATGTGCGACAAAAAAATGTAGTTTTCCGCTCGATAGAAATATCGACAATTTAAGAAAACACCACATAAATTTCAAAAAATTGAGTGAAATAAGGCCTAATTTTGATGTACTCCACAGTGTGGGATTACTGAAAATATAGATCACTTTTATCTAGTCTATCGCGCTCGAAGTTAACATGAAGTTCAAATTTGTACCAAATTAATTCAGATGACCGTTTGTCAAATAGTTTTGCGTCAAAACTATAGGTCTCGTTACTTTCCATCTTGTTTTCAATTCAATAAGTTTTTTTTAATGTAAAGGGATAATAAAGACCGAAACAAACATTTTAAGGACTGAAAGTGATTTTCCATTATAATGTCTAAAAATCATGAAAAATAATCGGTGCTATTACATGAAATGTCATGGTTAACAGCTGATATTATCGTGGTTTAATGCAATTTTGTAGTGTTCATCTGTCTGTTACGCCAAACACTATTTTTACACATATATTTTAGATAAAACGCATTCGTCGACTAAAAAACTAAAACTTAGCAGATAAGTGTGACTCAAATAGGCTTCTCAGTATTAGTTTAATTAAACTAAAACTTTTGGCTTATAAATATACAATTACCTAACTTGTTAGTGTCTTTCTGTATTACTCAACAGAGGTGGATACAAAAATGATTATCCCAAAGCCAGTTATTTCAGAACCACAATATTTTAAGTTTACTGTGACGACTGGCATTACTTTTTCTCATTCCCCAGCTTCCATGTTATCAATCTAATTTATTATTTCAAATTCGCAAGTTATGATAACCTAAACAGGTATTCATTTAGGTGAGGAATAAATTATTTGGGTAGATATATGCAAATAATCTGTTTTAAAACTTACAGCAGTACAAAACTACATGTTTTTTCCATAGAGCCAAATATGCATAAGGTGGATCACTGAGGACATTTTTTGCTTCTATCAACCACCAATCTATTAGTTTTAAAAAGAGGTGCAAAATTTACCAGTATGTGTATTGATCCTTTGTAAATAAGTATAATTGTAATAGCACTACTAATGTTACTAAACAGACAGTGAGGAACTTAAATTCATCAGCATTGTAAAAAATCTACCCAACGATTATGAGGACATTTGGCAGCTACTTGATTAAATAACATAAAATCGTGATAGCTTAAATGATTTTTCGAGTAATCTCTTACAGTAAGGTCTGTGATTTATCCGTTTAAAAAGAAACAAAAACGCTTTTCTGTATATAAGATCTGAAAACGCAAAAACTGAACTTAAAAATCCATACAAGCATATTTTTAGATAAAAAACTTAAAGGTCAACTAAATTAGGAATACTTTTACTTCAATGATCAATAAATCAAAATGTCTGAAAATATGTACTTCTATTTCCTAATAGTTTGCCTATAAAAGCTTAATATTAGGACTATTCCAAGCCTTAGTTGCTACAGTAAGCATATTGCTGTTAAATTATACAATGAAATATTTTTAAAATATTGGAATCATAGTTAGTAAATAAAGTGATATACTTATTATCCGGCACCATCGATTGCATTTACTACATTTTAATCATTTTTTCAATGTAGAGTCAAAATTTACAAAAACATGTCTGTTGACGCACCAGTGTAGGGAGTCGAAAATTGCATAGTGCAACAAAGAACTACCTTTGACTGTTCAACTCCTGAACTAAAAACTGGAACTCGATTAGCTGTCTCTTGACTTAAAAATACATGAATACTTAACTCCAAATATTCAAAACACTTGCAAATACATCTGGAGAATGTTACAATCATGTAAAAACTAACTATGTTTCAGCAGTGGAAACAAAAAACATAAACATCTACTACCCGTCAAGTCAAATTTTCGCATGACAACCCAAATTTTAGCTAAACATTTGTGCAACTCAAAAAACAAATGGTATGACGAACAAACCTTGCAGAAATGTTCAATAAAACTCCAAACTTCAGTCAGTTCTGCTAGATTATTAGTAGTTTGACGGGAGATTATCATTTTTTCATCCAAAATTTCAGATTTATTATGAAATTTGTGATCGCAGCATACAAAGTAGCATCCAGAAAAATCGAAATAGTGTAGTGAGTTGACTTTAGCTTTTTCATTGGTAAAAGGAATAGACGCAGAACCGTTGTATTCCAGTAACTTATTTAGAAACATAGCTATCAGAATAAATAAACATATGCGTAGCATCATTCAACTCTCACACTGAAATCGATCATGTTTTCACCACTGAAAATTAAAACAGTATAGTAATCCCGAGAGTAACGATAAGCTATTCCTACATTTAAATAAGTTACAACCAAACACATCGTGTAACCAACTACAGATTTAAACAACAGTATTTCGAGTACAAATTTATTGCGTAATATCACTGGATCTGTACTTGACACCTTCCTTTTCTCTGTTTTAATCTCAATTTAAGATGTGTAAGCGAACAGGCTTGACTGTTTGTATTCCGTTGCTAACATTATTGATAAGTTGTAAACAACATTTCGCTGGAGCGTTGATCATTCTGGATGGGGAAGACTCAAAATGCAAAGCACTAGGACCGCCTCCAAGCAATCGCTTTTCAATGAAAGTTTTTTCGAGTGACTTCATGTCTTGTTGCAGTGGTCCTCAGGTAAATCTTTGGTTATTAAACGTATCGAAAAACTGACAATTAATTATTGACTATCTTGGTTTTCACATGGCTACTAACCAACTAAGACGAGATTAGGAACTACGTAACTTCCTATTTTAGTAGAATAGGCATTCTGTGAGAGGTTTGCAGGTCGTCGTTATTTGAAGTAGTTGGCTGTAACCTTAGGTAGGTCTATACCTATTACCAGTAAGTCGAAACTACCGAGATTATTTCATACAGTTAGTTCCCTTTATGAATTTAAATGAAGCAAGAACAAATATTGATGCAGAATAGTATGAATTCATAATATTTCGAGGTTTCTCGTCAGCTGCTTACAACCAAATATGTGATAAAAAATTTTACATTGAGATAGTGTAAAACAATTGGCATAAATGAATGTGAATAACTGGAATGGCAAAGGTTTACAATAATAACTATATATATATGCTAGAACAGGTCAGTGGTTAATTGGTGTTAGGATTAAAGAAACAATTAAAGATGGGTAATGTAATAGTTGAATGGAGTTTATACATTGTGTGATAATTATTTTAGAGGTAATAGAACAGTGATAAGATAGGTTACGTAATAATTGAATAGAATTAGAAAGGTCAACATGATATAAGAGGATTAGTGGGTGGAAATGTTTGAATGGAAAGTTGGTTTAAGAATTAGGAAATGGGGTGAATATAACCCAAAATGAATATTTTGAAAATAAAATAAGTAAATAAAATAACACCCACACGAAAAAAAAGTTACCAGCGTAATGATAAGTTTAATAACGTCTCTTTTTGAATGCATAAATCCGGTTTAAGTTTTTTTATCGCAATCGCTTCCGCGAACCGGAGAGTAGTAGTACTTCGTTGTCTATTGATAATTTTGAAAGCGTGTGAGATATCAATGGTATGCCCGGTGTCCAGTAAATGCCGAGCTATCGCACTGTTAAGAACCTTCGTCCCTCGCAGCCTCAAGTTCTTTGGAACATGCTCAGAAATACGAACATGTGCTCTTCTCTCAGTTCTTCCAATGTATGTGCTTTGGCACGTACATGTGAATTGGTAAATGCAGTTGGAGCTACTAAGAAAAGAGGACTTGTCGATTTTAGTTTCTTTGAGTGAGCAGTTCGTTTTCCATACTGTCATTAATTTAGCTGCTGGGTAGGCAACTACCGAGATTATTACTGATTGACAGCTCAGTAACCGGACTAAATACTAAGGGATGTCGTTTTAAAGATGACACCCGGACAACTCAGGTCTTTTAGGCTAATTATAAGATGAATTGTGTTGGAAGTCAAGATGAGCGCTAAAAAGTTAGAAATCTCACCATAGTTTAAGTGAGGGTGACATTCTTGCCAAAGGATAGTTTTCTTCGAATGTGATTCTATTTCTCTAACGGTTAGACTGTTCTACTTCGTAGCTCTTCTAGTACACAGAGGTGGATTAGTTGACAAGTGATATGGCTTTAGTTAGTTATCTGGTAGAAGTCTAATGAATATTATATAATTATCTCATAACTCTCGTATTATATGATTTCAATAACAGGCTGTCTTAGTTTACCATTATTACTGACGGAATAATAGAATTACAGAGGTAAGGCTATCAGTTTAGCAAACGCTGAAAGAAGTTACCTAGCTTGCTAGCGTGTTTTGGAAAAGTAGCTAAGAGAATATCTGCCAATTTTTAGCGTGTCAAAAAATGGTTGGTAGGGCATCAGTTTCGAGGGCCTTGATTAACTTCTAATACATTGGTGAAAATAAAGTTGTTAAGAGTACTGCTTTATTACTTACTCGTTTTCAGACAGATCAATTAACTTGAATAAACCAAGACTATAGTTGTCGAATAGACTTTTTGTCATACGGAGGAATTTCACATAACTGTCCTAGATCTTGTCCTTCAAATCCGTAAATTATCTGCAGATTTCGTAACTACAAATGTATACTAGTGGACACAACTGGTATGAGCTTTCTAAACTAATTAAACGCTACTCCGTTGCCCACTTGAAGACATTTAGGCACTTTTGAGAGTGCTTATTCATTATTTTTTATTTCAGCGTCACAGTTATAGCACGCATTTATAAATCTTCCGCCTTAACGTGGACCAAAGTCATCATATACGCATTTATCAGTATTATAGCCCTCTCTTTGTCACTTGATAATAAATACAGACTTAGTGAGCCTTTTTAGTGGTTACATCTGGTTAACAATTAGCAGATATATTTTCAAGAAGACTGAGTGATGAAATTTTCATCGTTTACTGAAGTGATTCTCCTGAAAGTACTTAGGTAGCACGCTTGATGTGTCAGTAAAAATAGCATTTAATTAGTCTCATAAGTGTATGGTGGCAAATGTAATTTTACGGTGACTCAAACGCAAGGGACTCGAACATATGGGATAACTTCTGTATTTTCTACAACTTTAGGACGTCCGCCCCGGGTTTCGAGGCGAAAATAATAGTCAGAGTAGATATTCGCTTGTCGAGATCTTCGCGCTTATATATACTTATAGTGAAAATCAATATTTTGTGACAGAGAGTACCCCTTGTTCTATCGATAGAAGGAAAAAGACTAGTGTTGAGTGGGTTTTCATTTTGATCATGGTACAGAACATTCAAACAGCGAAACTTTCCTTTTCAATCACACAACGTTTGTAAGCATTTAATATGAAATAAAAGCAAGTATAATGTCTATACAAAATAAGGTGAATGAACACTTGAGCTATAAAGTTTTGATATTATCAGGATGTCAGCGGCCAACTCTTTACCAGCCGACACAAGTTGTTACACACACATGTATTCATATAACGTAATGAAAATAACCTAATTTGCCTCTAAGCGAGGAGTTATTATAGTGTTAATGAGACTAATATTCAGTGTAAGAGTTTGTGTGCTTTTTGTAGGTTGCGTTGCAGCAAGAATGAATACGACCCAAGTCCATAGTTGTTTATAATAAGAGGTAATGAGGCGAATTCATAAACAGCAAGCCAAAGTCATTGGCGTTAACGTGTTATTTTGTGCTTCTGGACAACGATCCCAGACAAACGTCAGAGGTATTAGTGACGGCGTAGGATGAAGTCGTATGTTCAACATATGTTTTCGGTAGTATACCACGAAAGTGCTGGGAATGAAAGAAGAGAATGTAAAGGCAAGAAGTAAATCAGGCAGTGCTTATGAATAGTATAGTTCAGTCATTAATAATCGGATATTCAATGCTTGAGTACTTAGACTTATTCTCTTGTATTAGGTCAATGTCTGAGCGAGTACATTTCACCAGGTTAAAGAAAACAAGTCAGAGCATGGCTTGAACAAAGTATTATATAAAAACATATGATTCAAACCTCCGAAACTTTAGGATGGTGTATATTTTCAAAACTCAGTAAGGAAAATGTGAGCCGGCTTTTTATCGCTAAAATTATTATAACCGATTTTATAGTTAAAATTTTGTAGAGATATAAGTGAACTCCTATTTAGTGTAACTGTCCAGTTTTGTTTATAATGGAATTTCTCGGTAGGAAGTAAAATCGATCTAAGGTCACATACATGAGCCATAAGGGTACTTTGAATGAGAAATTAGCTTCCATACCGTTGATTACTTACATCCCCCTGGACCACAAGTAGCCGTAATTTCGCAAAATTATGGCCTAGGTTGGTATGAAAACACGTATGCATGCTGCTAGAAAGACAGCCACATTCCGCAACCGTGGATTTGCTATGGCGTAACTACGTGGCCAATCAGACCTCACGTGGAAGTCACATCGTTAACAAGGCTGGTTTGTCCTATCGTGACAGCAAGTAATTGCGATTGAAGAATACATTTGTGATGGGAAGAGAATTATGTATTTTATAAATAAAGCATGATGTTACATAGTGATGACCATGTGGTGGCATTGCTTGAAGGCTGAAAAGTTCCTGATAACTAGTCTGTTATCATACTCTGTTTAAATTCTACTTTACGAATTTCGCCCTTCGGTTATGCCGCGTCTTTTTAAAACTGGCTTCCTAGACAGCCCGTAATAACAGAGAGTGTCATTAGCAAGGAGATTATGGATGAAATACCTGTTCAATCACGGTGGTGATTTAGGAATGCAAGATAGATGTCATGCAAGCCACCCTGTCGATTCTCTGGAAATTTCATTGACAAAATATTTTCTGACAGAGCAATTACATACTACTTACACAGACATGATTAACAATTCACAACTGCGTCATTCGTTTTTAGATTTGTAACGATAAATAATCTTTCGAAACATATGTCTCAGGTATTTGACATTGATCTGTCCCAATTTTGCTGGACACAATCTAACCGTATGTGTTCAACCAAGCACTCGCTACAGTTCACTCTCCAACCTGTAGCTGAACGGCTTCTCAACTTCAACCACTCTGTAGAAATGTTTCACTTAATTCCACAAACAAATACATCCTCGATCTCAAGCGGTATCCAGCTCGTCTTTGTTTTAGTTGAAGATTCTTATGTGCCATCACTGCTTGATTCTTCTATGAACAAGCAATTTTCAAAAGAGTAAAGTACGTGCTCCATCGAATCAGTGGAAATTCTCGTTTGCAACGTACAAGGTATTGTGTAACCAAGGACGCAAGAACTCAACAAAGTAGGTCATTGATGTAAGCGTCAGAGTTTAGTAGTCAACATAGTGGAAGGTGGTT